ATATATTTTTTAGATTTTTTGGTTACAGTATGAATTATTTAAGAGAATCTTTGTTTTAAATTTTCAACTCTTAGTTATAAAAACTCAACATTTTATAATTTTTTAATTCCAACGATTGATAATTTTCGAGATTTTGATAAATTTTGTCAAAATTCGATGTTTAAATGCTTATAAAAAAAAATTGTGCCTATGTATTTTTAACATTTTTTAACTGTTATTGTAACAATATATCAGGAGCCTTGTATTAAATTTTTATACTTTTTGGCCCAACAGATAAAACTTTATTGATATTTATAGAAAAAAAAACTAAAAAAAATTGAAAGCTGTAAATGTCCATAAACAGCTCAAAAAGAGTCAAAATATTTTCAAAATTCTATGGTGTATAGGAAATGCTAATATAAACATTCAGTGAAATTTTCATGTGTCTACAGTTATTCGTTTTTGAATTACAACAAAATAAGGAAATCGCTACATGAGAAATCGAGTGAACATCCAATGTTGTAAAAATTTGAATTTCAAACGCTCATAAAAATTTAATTTGACATTCCGGTAGAGATTTTTTTATTGATAAAGGTAGACAAACTTATGAGTAATCTTGTATTACATTTTCAAATCTTAGGTTTAAAAAGAAAAATTTTTACGAATTCTTAACTCAAAATAATTCGCGAATTTTCGTGATTTTTCCATATTTTTACAATTTTTGAACTTTAAATGCTTATAAAAAAAAATTGTGACTAACGATTTTTAATATTTTTCATCTGCCTTTGAAACAATATATTAGGAGCCTTCTATTAAATTTTCAAGCTTTCGCAACCAACAAATAAAATTTTATTGATATTTTTAGAAAAAAAACTAAAAAAAATGGAAAATGAAAATGTCCCTAAACAGTTCAAAATAAATCAAAATATTTTGAAAATGTTATCGTGTATAGAAAATGCAAATATAAACAACCAGTGAAAATTTCATGTATATACGTTCATTTGTTTTAGAGTTACACCAATAACCAAAATCGATTTTTTGGAAAACCAATTTTGCGTAAAAATCCCCGTTTTTCCTTAATTTTTATGTTGTTTTTCCCGGCGCTTGTGAAAACTACTGGGAAATGGTTACTTTTGACCCCCCAAAGTACCAACTAGATTCACTTTCCTATCAGAAAAGGTACTATTGAAGAAAATCTAACCACTTTTACTGTCCCAAAACGTGATGACAGACACAAAAAAAAATATAAAAATATAAAAATATAAAAACACACATCATTGTAAAACCAATACATTCATCGCTCCTCTCAGAATCTAAAAATAAAAATAACTGTGTAGAGATCACATTCTACATTAATTTATTGAATTATAATAACATAATAATATTGTTTAATATTAGTTAGGTATCTTTTAATACTAAATAGTTATTTTAATTTGTTTATTAAATTAAATTAAATTATTTGATAAATGATTAAAAAAAAAGCGGGCAATTTAAAATGGGCCAATGAGAACGTGGTATACATAAGGCGCTCTGTGGCGTCCTGGGTTTCCTAATACGCCTCCCGCCAGTGCCCATGGATACAGTGTTTGAAAAGTTATATTTTTTTGGTACATAATTATATTATAATATGAATTGTTATAAGTGACTTATGTGGCTATATGAAGGTACTTGTCCAAAACTCGACTACCGGGATTTAACACGTTGATGGACAGTTGCCAAATATTACTGTTGTAGCAGTAATATTAAAAGTTGACGTCGGGGGTCATTTTTAAATATAACTGCTATAATACCAATTGTATAAAAATCTTCCAAAAATTGTCATTAGTCATTACTGCTGTAGAAGTGATATTTTCAATGGTGTCTTATGAGCGGATAGATTGTTGAGACCCCCAACATCTCAGTGTACAGTTGGATAGTGTCATATAGCAGGAAACCCTACAGCTGTACTAAAAACATTATACTGCTATATCAAAAATGAAAATTGACGTACCTACTTAGGATGGTTTTTTTAAAAATAATAAAATTGACTGTCCATCAACGTCGATTTATTTACCTACTGGCTATTGATCTATTATAAAATAGAAACTTAACCTACCAATAATATCACTATATAAAATAATTAAATGTGAATATTTGAAGACAATTTCTTAAGGCCCCTAAAATATTTTTTAAATTTAGTATAATAATATAGTTTAGCACCCACGGCCCACTCAAATTTTTATTTTCGGAAACCTTTTTGTTGCAACCAGTTATAAGAACTATGATGCAAAAATGAATTGCTGAAAATCATTAGTTTTTATGGTATAGCCTTACTAAGTTCTCGATTTTCGGTGTATAAACTAAGAAAACAGATATTTTTAATACAATAGAAATTTAATTTCCTATTTATTAGATACTATAATAATAATATATATATAATATATATACTTTAATACTATCGTATTAGATACTCTCATAACTTATAAGTACTTACTAATGATATTTCAATATAAATAATTTATAAAAATGATTGAAGTATAAAGAATACTACCTACATACACCTAATATTACATATAGTTTATTTTTTTGTAAAAGCATATATAAGGATTATTATTCTTAGTAGGAATATTTTAATTGTATAAACAATTATTAATTGATGACTTTTTTCAAGAATATTTATTTTATGCATAAGAACATGAATCTTTCAACAGCCAAATAAATGATATGGCAACGTTGCACGTAAATTCGTTCTCAATCGTAATCTTTTTAGGGTTTTTTTTTGAGTCAGCGGTAAGTTTTTTGTTATTTTTAATTGCTCTCAATCGTTTGGCCAAAAAGTTATAACGTTCTCAATCGTTCGATAGTCAATATACGCCAATACGGAGCGCATGCTATACGCCTATACCTACCTCAGTTTTTTTGTAGGGTTGCTTATCGACTTTTACACTTTTACACATTAAATACTTACTAGCACAGATAGATAGCTGAAAAGCGTTAATACTTATTGTACATTTTTAAATATTATAAATACAATTTAAGACTATCATAGACCATTAAAATAATTTTTAAATTTTCTTAACATTTCGGGGGGGGGCCCCTCCCCTGCCTGAACGTTTTAAATATAGATGACAAAATGAAAAACAATTTGAAATAAGTAATTCTGATTGTATTTATATAATATAAATTATAAAAATTAAATAATAAATTACCTGCTTTTCTGGAAAATAATACATATTTACTATTTAGTTATACGCAAACTGAGGTCTGAGACAACTGCAATGCGCAACAGCTCCAGGATAAATTACCTAATGTAAATCGGTGATTAACGAATAACGTTATTTCAAACACAGTGATAAATTCTTATACCTACTATTAATAAACTATTATTTGCAGTATTGCTGGTACGGCCGTATGCGTCGTGGGTCAAAATAAGATACGGCCGTCGGGCAAGCAATTTGTACTCAATATTTTATATAATATTTAGCTATAATATTACAATATTGAATATAACATTAGATATCTATTTAGATAATGATTATTTTTCGTAACAAACGCGTAAAAAATTGGATATCTAAAATTCTAAACAATGAATAACGATTTTAGGTATTCTGTTATAATATTCAAGAGGACTTAATTTTTTTTAGGTATATTGTATATTTAACAACATACAATTACATTTTCAAAATATTAAGACTAATTTTAAATTCCCTATTCCCTTTTTATACCATAAATATAACGCTTACCTTATTACTAATAGTAAAATAAATTACTATAATAGCAATAAAAATTATAAATACATAATAAAATATATTTAGCAATTAGTAAATAGTAATATAGGCAAGGCCGGATTAAGAGGGGATCTAGCCGGGGCAGAAGCCCCAGGGCCCTCTTAAGTACCAAAATGAAAGAGGCCCAAACAATTTTAAGCTGTATACATTTTTGAGGGATTTTAAAGAAAAGTTTTTCTATATTTTTAAGTCCATTTTATTTTCTCGACAAAAACAACTAAATAGTAAATACCTACAAAAGCACTATGGTAGAAAAGACGCATTTTACTGTTTTTAATATTTTCATTGATATCAATAATATCATCAATAGTTAATAACGTTATTTATGTACGGAGAGAGATTTTTCTAAATTAACTTGAGTAAAAAATAAGTATATAACCAGTCAAACCCACTTTAGTTGGCTCCAAGTAATTCAAGAAAAAGGATTTATTTGATAAAATGGTTTTTGTTTTATATATTAACTTGTGTTTGATATTTGTTGTAAATGAGTATATTGTTAATAAATTTAAAAGATATTATGAAAATTTTAATTTAAATTAATGAAATATGAAGTACTAACTTTTATCATATTACAATAAAATTAGTAGATTTATAGACATAAACTACATTTACCTATTAATTTTATAATTTTATAATGCCACAGTCAATTTGTGATAAACTTAGAAAAATGTATGTTCCTGCAAGAGCAGCAAGCTGCTTTTTAAAGAATGTTTTGTCAAAAGGGTCCATATAAAATTTCAGCCCCGAGGCCCAATATGTTCTTAATCTTGCCTTGAATATAGGCTGACACTGCCTGACAGACTGTCTTTGCTCAGAATTGTTTTTGGTACCATTTCAACAACTTATCACTGAATCCAAATTTAACACATCCATTATGGGGGAATTCAACACCTACTGTAAGCAGTGGTTACCTGCTTGCACACATTTAAAAAACTAAATACCATTAATTGTACACATTTTTAAATTACAAAAAGTTATAAATATACATCAAAATGTACATTATATTATATTCATAAAAGTATACCAATATTAATGTGAAGATTAATATTTTTTATATTACAAAAGTATTTATTAAATATTTGAATAATTACTATATTATAAAATAATAAATAAATAAAAAATAATGTTTTAATAATAGAAAATATAAATAATTATAAATAAAAAGCAGACATTAATACAAAAATAAAGTATGTATCAATAGTTTGCTCATTCAATAGACATCGTAATGCGAGTTCTTGTTAATTTTTGAGTAGATTATTGACCTGGAGCAAGCAAGGATTTTTCCATAAACTTCTTACGAGCAAAACATAGCCACCATTTAGATGGCTTGCCATCATCAGTTGAAAATACTCTTTCGCAAACTCTTCGGCCAGTTTCCTTTCGTAATTGTTCCAAATATTGACGCATAATATCTATTTAAAAATAACAATTTTGTAAAATTAGTATGCCATAAAAAATTAATGGTTTAACATCAAACTACCTGCTTCACCAGTTGATGATGGTTTTGCATAAACTGAGTTTAATGGAAATCCAGCCTCTCCGGGTATATCAAATCTGTACAGTGCCAATGAATACATTTCAGACATTCCTTGATCTTTACTTTGACATTTCTGAAGTTTTTTTAAACACTCAGTTATGTATAAAGTAATGTAAATCACAACACGATCAGTTTCACTCTAAAACATTATCGGTACTTTCCATATAAATAGTTGTAATTTATACTATGTTAATTCATATTATACCATAAGAATGTATGCAATACCTTAACTTCGTAGGATCTAAAAAATACATTTGCTTTAAAAAAAGATAATGATTCGTCTATTATATCCATTTCTGCAACTGTAGGGCTGAGCAAAGGTGCAGGACCTTTGTATTGAGACTTAATTGGTAGTATTGCCATATTTCCAGTTAGTTGCTGGAAATCTTTTATACTAGAATGATAAGCCTGATAAAAAAATTACAAATAATTTTATGATTAGGTGTACAATTGTAAACTTATATTACATGGTTGTATTTTATTCTATCATAATGGCCCTCTAAACATATATAGGTAATTAAATGTTTCTTAGTTTAACGGAGTTGTTCATCTATTACTATACTCTCTCGAATCTTAGGAATAGGTAATCAAATATAATTAGCTAACTTATACCTAACCATTATCTTCTAATACAAAACAAAGTTAAAATATTAATAAATATAGAAAGACTAGTTGTCTATTTATCGTACATTTGTACAACATTAATAAGAATAAAAAAATATTAAAAACTAACTTTAACTATTGTTTAAATTATTTAATGCATACATGATCAGATATGTAGGCAGTACCAAGGTAAAAATCAGTCGGTCATACTTACTGGCATTATGCTGCACCGTTTCAAAACAAATGAAAATGCACACACCAATTTTAGTGGATATTTAATATTTTCAAGTCCGACGTGAAACTATGATTTTCAGTTTTCACGTCCTGTCCCCTGATTGAACGTAATATTATTTATTAACACAGAATAGATGAAATTTCATCTATTCTGTGATATTAATACTGATAGTATATCTCTTCTAAGACCGTGGTATATCTGATATCAATTACCGTAATCGATAAGTGTCACTGGACCCTGATAACAGATTAAGATATTATATAATATGATAATATATAACAACATGTCCCGCATAAATTTAAAAATTTTACAATAATAATAATATAATTATTTATTGTAAATAATCATAGATTCCAAACGTTACTTCATAATATAAGAGCTTTATATTATAGATTTGTATGAAAATCTTTGTTTATAAATTATATATTATAATATATTCAATATGAAATTATTAGTTGTGGCATTATATATATTATATAAAGTTTTTAAAATTGGAATTGACAGTGATATTTTAACTACTATATTTTAAAGCAACATTTTATTGATGTCTAGCTAACTAGCTGATTAGTAATATGGCTTTTAGACTTCAGTATTCTTTGCCTACACAATATTGACCACTGACTTAGTCAATTATTTTTATTATTTTATTACACAACTGAGTACTGACAACTGACTTGCTTCAATTACTTTTAATAATTTTATAATCTTATTCAGTGTGAATTAAATTGTTTGACTTATAATAATTTTATTTAGTGCTGATTAATTTATTTAACTTAATCATTTTTATCATTATATTTACATATATTTTTTTTAATTCTATAAAATGGACAACTATGTGAATACTGAAAATCAAGTAAGTGTTCATGAATTTAACTATATTTAATAATCTATATTAATAATTAATTATATATAGTCTTTGATACTAGTAATTGGCAAAGAACTTTACTCTCTTGTGGAGTTGAAAAATTCAATTTCAAAGTATGTGGATATTTATTCTTTGAGTCTTAAAAACACTACTTACTATTTTGAACTTGAGTTTAAAATATAAGTTTAAATACTTAGGCATTTAGTGCCAAAATCCAATACAATATCATTATGATAATTTTAGAATTCGTTCAATAGGTAGTGTTAAATTTAACGCAAACATATAGCCATAATATAGGCGTATACATAATATAATATAGCTATACAAGCCTACTTGCCTACCAACAGCTATTTCGTACTAGAGACATAATATTATTACTTATAAAAAAATCATTATTTTTGGACTTAAGATGGAAAGTTTAAACGACATTAAAATTAAAACCTAACGAGACTTGTATTCGTAATAAATTGGAATCTACGAAGTCGAAACGATGGTATATATAATATTATTTTACTGTATTTTATTGTACATCAGAGTTACGATTTTAATAGATTTCTGGAAGAAGTGTTGGAGTGTCAAAACAGTTTGCTAAAAAAGATGGTGGAAGATCAAAAGTGCCGGATGTCCTTGTTGAAATGGACTGCTGAACAGAACGCTGCCATTCGTGGCGATTAATGTTGAAGCTCTTGTCGGAATTGATCTCCGGAATTTGGAGATTTCGATTACGAAAATAGTGCAGAAGTCCGTTTCAAATACCTATCTGATAAAATTGATTTGAGACATCGGTATATTGACGAACATTCGATAATTATAGAAAGATTTTTATACATTGATTTTTTATAGGATCAAAATCTGACGGAATTTGAACCTAACTCGGAAGTAGAGTTGAGAAATTCAGCATTTTGTAATTATGATCGTTTTTTTTTTTTCAGTTAGTCAACGAACAGTTTCTGTTGGAACAAATACAACTTGAGGTCACGCAAGACAATATTTAAGAAATCTTGGGTTGAAGTGAGTACCTATTAATTCTGTCACCGTTTGTAATTTATTGTTTTAACCCTGTTAAATGTTTATCGTTTAGATGAGGTGTTCAGTTGAGGCCGTGGGGAGAAATCGAAAGGCACTGAGAAAATAATACTTATCGTCATCTGGCGGGACAATGACATCTGTAACACCGCAGCTTCTTCTATACAGTTAGCTACTAATAACCTGTAAGCATTGCTAGCCTTTAGGAATTTTGGCCCCAAGATCCAAATATTGTTGTGGATTTAAGTTAACAAACTCCTTGATTTCAATTTTGGCTTCTTCGAAACCAGCAACATCCCTAAATTCAATTGTAAAATTAAACTATGAACTTAATGCAATAATAATTATAATTAATATAGTTGAACGGACGTCAATCTTTAGGATCTACAAGTTTGGCTGTAGATTCCATACACCTCCAAATAGTCCACCTCCGCGCCTACCACACTACACAATAGTTATGCCTTTGATGAACGGTAATAACTGCAGTCAAGTCGCCGTATGAGTAATCACATTAACAATTAACAATTAACATTAACGAATAACCACAACTATGTGTAGCAGTAATTATAACAATAGGTACTGTGTTGAATGTGTGTTCCTTTTGTCACACTTATAGTTATAAGTTATCCATCGGCCATCACCATTTATTATAATATATTTATTTATATATATATATATATAAGTATAGATATGAATAAATAGGTAATGTTTTTTTTTGTATAGTTATTAGTCTAGTGATGGGCAAATTCCTGGTAAATTGGGTTAATTTATTTTTTATGCTAAAACCAATCCATGGATATCACTATACATTTTTATGATTGTTTCCTGACTTTTCCAATAAAATAATAAAAAAGATTATGTTAGACAATAACTATAGTTACCCATTGCTGTGGTAGGTATAATTTATTGTGTTACTCTGTCTTGTTATTCTATGTTATTTTATTGAAATTAGGTTGTATTATTTTTAGTATGTAATTTTTGTGTCTATTATGTAATGTAACTCTCCATCACTATCACAACCATTGTGCTTAAAGGATATACAAGATACAATACTTTATTGTAAATATTTTAATAATATGTAAATCATCTTATTTATATTTCACAATAAAATTATTTAAAAATAAAATAGTTTATAAAAAATATAAATTTCATTCTTAATTTGTTTAAGTATTAACTGTTTTTATTTTATTAATTCAAGATGAGCAACCATACAAGTACAACTGATACAACATTTCAAATGCCTATAGCACCCCCAGTTTATCCTTCTCAATCTGAAGCTTTACTTTTTCAACACATTATTATTTAAATAAATATTTATAAATAAGCAATTCTTAAAATGATAATGGATGTAATTAATAATACGTTGAATGGATGATAAATTACATTAAATGATTGCAAAAATCAGTTATAAAAAAAAAAAATGGTTAATATTCTTCATCTTCGTCATTTCCAAATTCCAAAATTTTGTTTATTTTATTTGAGGCTGTTTTGAAATCAATGGATCGTTAGGTATTTCGTTTTTTGTTGAATTTCATTTCATCTTCCAGTGTAATTTGAGGAGCTTTTACTCGCTTCAGTGCTTTGGCCTCAATTGATTTACTCAGTGGAGTGGGTGGTTCACTAATGGCTGAAGGTTTGGCGGTTGAATTCCATTGATAACTGAACAATGGAGGCGTTACACTCCTGGATTGGTCATTATCTGATGCTACACCTAATTTCCCTGGAGATGACATAACATTATAATCGCTGACATTACCATATTCAGCATGGTCTACGCAACCAGAAAGGTCCATTTCTGTTGATGAGCTATTGCAATGCATTTGTTTGGTTTTAGATTTATCTCCTTTCAAATTTTTATGTGTATCGCAGTTCAAACTTTCATCAAATTTGTTTGTCTTAGATCTGATTGCCTTAACACATTTGTTATTACTTTTATTGAGATCAATTGCTGACGGCGATACACTTTTTTTTTTAATTTCTTTCACAATGCTTACATGTTTTGCAGCTGTTTTATTTTTAGGTATTTGTGGTGTTGTTTGCTTTATGGTTTTTTTATTTTCTTTAGATTTGGAAAGTAAACTCGTTGTAAGGTTAGACTTGTGTACACTGCTATTGGTGGAGTTTATGGTTGTTTTCATTTTAGATTGTTGCTTGGAATGGTTTTTTATTACAGATGAGTTTTCCAGTGTATTATATTTTGATTTTGCAGCAATGCTGTTACAACTGTTTAATATTTTTGATTTATTTATCAATGTTTGATTGGTATGTTTTGTATTATTAATATTACTCATTGATGTTTTTTCACGTGTTTTTGGCTTCAAAAATATGTTTCTCTGTAATTTTAAAATAACATATTAGTGAACAAAATTACTAAAATGTTGTTAAAAATAAATAGTAGTTAATTTAACTAGAAATAATTAAATAGGAGTTTATAAGATAAGATTAATTTATACTCCTTACTCCTATCAATAATATATTTGAAATATTCAGTTCAGGGATGGCCAAAGAAGATTAATCCAGTAGAAACAAATCATAAACCTTAGTACTCTAGTACAAATGTCTATAACCCTCGTCTAACTGTCTAAGCTGTTTAATATAATATCTTTTCCGGAAGTAAAATAAATATTAGTGGTATAAATATAGTATAAATACTTTATAAAGACCATTTTTATTATAGAACTATAACTGTAATAATGTATAGTTTAATATACATTTTCTTAAAAACCTTTGCAATGACTTTACAAACATTTAAAAAAATAAAAATAGTAAATAGTAAAAAATAATGATATATATATATATATAATATATTATTTAAAATCATTGCTAATTTAATTTTAAAATAATATTATTAATATGTCTTGTTCCTTAAGAGGACGTTTGCATCCACATGTGTTCTCTCCGTCTTACAAATGTACAATATAGCAAAAACTGTTTTGCATGGGAAAGAACCGAGAAAGCTACAGTCATAACTAAGATACATAATTTTTAACACATAAAAAGGAGAGCTTTGGCTATGCAATATCGTTTTTTTATTTATTTGAAATCGGAAGTTCAAAAAAAGTTATTAAAGTTTAAAAAACACAAATAATAATGGATTTTGAAACAGTAAGAATATTTTTCGTATAAGTGATATCAAAAAAATTAAAAATATATTGTACAGCCAAAGTTCTTCTTTTTATGTGGTGAAAATTTTGTTTCTTAGTTATGACTGTAACCTTCTTGTTTTTTTCAGTGCCCTAACGTTTTTTTATGCCGTACATGTGTAAGACGGAGACAACATATGCGGGTGCAACGTCCTCTTAAATCAGTAATTTATTAAGATAGATGATAATGTTGTTAATCTATATAATATATAATAAAAGTTTTCTGACTGACTGATCTACGTAGTCTAAACCATGATAAATTTAATGGTACCTTTGTACCACCATGTAGTGTGCACCAATAATGGTTTCCAAAATCTGCAAGGTTAATGCATCAAATTGTTGCGTTTATCGCATGAATGAAGAAATTTTACCACAAAACAAAAATATAAGTTTATTTATAAAATGATTCTTCTACCTCAGCAGTTCTCACTAGGAATTTAGAAAGGGTCAAATGTAATTTTTGAAAATTACTTGCTTGTCGCAGTTTTAATTATAAAAATTTAAAATTTAAATACAAACGGACAATAAATTATGATAAACTGTTCATAAAATACTACACGGTGGAAATGAATAAACTCATAATCGTAGGTACCTACGTATCTGCCCAACTGGTAATTGAATACAAGTTGAAAATAGAAAGATAATATATTTTTCCATTGACTGATAGCAATATATGGAGTTAGTGATCAAACAAGATACCTTGCAAGTAGCACTAGTGCAGTACACATATTACTAGTTTACCATAAAATATAAAAGTATTATTATATATTTTGTTTAGTTATAAAACTAGTCAAATATGGTGGGGGGCTCCATATTAATTCAGAAAAATGTAAAAAGATTAATACTGTGGTATTTTGATAACTACACTGGTGTTCACACAAACAAATAAATTATGTTTTTAATATAAATTTATTAGAATAATATTATACCTGTTCTTTTAACTGAGATTGTCTTCTTTTGTTTATATTTATAGAATCATTAACACTATCCTGCTTTTGTCGTTTGTTTGGATTATCGCTTAGATTCTGACTTATCTTCTTTCTCAAAATTTGACTTGGAGTTTCAAACATAGTGGGCTGTTTTTTTTGTTTTTTTGGTGTGGATGCTAGTAATAATGGTGTACGTTCACAGAATTTACGATGTTTAATTTTATTATGTTCAGTTTCACCATTTTCAGACAATTTTCTTTTCATATTTGTTTTGTGATTTGCAAGCGTCATATTTTTACTGTAAGTTGTTCCTTTTCTGGTCATACTTGCATCAAGATTCACAGCAGATTTTATTGGTTTGGCAATTGGTAATGCAGGGGAACTTATTGAAAAATCAAACATATGTTTTGTTTTATTTTCAACCCCAGTTAGTTGTGTCACAATTTTTCTCCATGTTCTTGGAATACCATTGACAGATACACATGTTTGATATAGTTCGTTAGGTGATCCACCAATGATATTACCAACCAAACGGTATACGCCCTTTTTCGTTTTGACTAAACTATTTTCTTTTCTGCCTTCTAAAATGCCAGCTTCATGACACTTTTCAACAACTGTCTGATTATCTTCTCCCAACAAATGTCCTAAAATATAAATAATTTTTGTTACATTAAGAAATAATAAAAACATCTATTGAAATAATATATTAAATTACCAGTTAAGATTAAAACATATTTTGATGATTGCTCTGATGATTTGATTAGTTTCATATTTAAAGACCACATAGATAATAATTTTTCAACATTTTCTAATACATTTAATTGATTGTTATGATGTTGACTTGCATTACTCTTTTTTGAGGTCTCATTTTTATTTTCTGTTAATCCAACAATAATTTTAAATCCAACATCTTCAAGAAGTGATTCAATTGAATTATTATCATCATTTATGTTTTCATTTTTATGTGATTCAGGTACTGATTGATTTTGTTCAAATGTTACATCAGAATATGTATTACGTGAAGTTGGTTGATTTGTTGATAGAGATTTAGATTGCTGAGCAATTTCATGAGTATTATTTTCTTCAACAGTTACATTATGATTTTGGCTTACTTTCATAACTGTAGAACTTGTGGAAGGTGATTCGTGAGAAACACAGCTTGACTGTTCAATACGAGATAATACCACTTTAGGTTGAAGACAATCTGGTGGTTTAAATGGATTTGAAAGTTCGCTAGGTTTGATGGAATAAAAATTATTTTCTGGTAATCTAAACATGCTATGGTCACAAGAACTAACCATTGACATAGTAGTTGGTAGTCTATAGTTATAAATTGTAGATGACCTGTAATTGAAACTTGCTGATGGCCTAGCGTAAAGTGGAGCGATATGTGATGAATTGGTAATCCGAGAGACATTAGCACCAGCATGATGGCCATCAATGATAATGCGTTTTACACGTTTTAAAAACATATTAAATTCAATATTGAATTTACGATAAGGATGCACTTTCAAAAAATCATTCAATATACTGTGAAGTGCAATAGTTTTCTCTTCTATAATGTCTTGAAAAAGTAAAGCTTCAGATTGAGAAGGATAAACTGGAGGTGCCATAGGCATTTTAAATGTTGAATTAGTTGTACTTGTTTGGCTGCTCATCTTGAATTGGTATAACTAGAAAGAAAAAAACAATTAATACATACACGAATCAAAAATAAAATTTATATTTTTTTTTAAACTATTATACCTAGCACAGTTCAATTCTAAGAACTATTAGTAACTTTTAGAGCTCAAATTTTGTTTTTTGTCATCTTGAAATAATCTAAGTATGATATAGTCTGTCTCACAAAAGAAAGGTATCTTGTCTAGATAAAATACGGTAATTCATGCGCGTCCCCACCTCGTACCACCACCATAATTGGTTAGCTGCAACGACAACAGTCATGGTAGCTAGTAAACACAAGCGGTGTATAAACAGCAGCGACATGAACCAATTGTTCTTCGTTGTGATAAATTGGGATACCAATAGAGCGTGCTCGACAGTCTGGCATCGGATCATAGCTCACACACCGCGCCTACATGCGCAAAACAGTACCTTTATTTTGTGAGACAGAATACAAATTTGTTTTACTTCCATAAATTCAAAGACGATTTTTATTTCATTGTTTTCCATTATTAGTTTTTATTTATTTAATTAATTAAAAACAGGTCTTAGGCTCTAAGAAACATTTTGAGTTCAAGTGAAATGTAATAAAACTTTTGATGGTAAAAAAGATAAACAGCCTCCCTCCTGAAAATACCAGCCAACCTCTTGGAAGAAAGGTATTGAATGGGATTGATGAGCTGCACTCAAACCTCAAAATTGCATAGGTTCCTATAGAAGAGATAAGTAATACGGTTTTAAATCTTCAAATACCTGATCAGTGATCAGATAGATGTACTGACTGTCTGACCCCACTGAACAATTCAGTACATTTTTAATAATTGACCTAAATTGTTTGATTAAAAAGAAATATTCATTTATAAGTACCTACCTAAACATATTATTATTTATTATATTTATTAAAGCACTTTAAAATGTGTCATGCTTACAATATTATGATTCATTATAATATAAATTATAACTCACAAATTATGATTCAGCAGTAATAGTTTTGTATCAATAATTATTAATAACATTCGATCTATTTTATTCTATTATAAATATTCCGTGTTGTCTCGTCGAAAACGAACTTACCTACCTCTGAGTTATAGACGGTGGTTGGTCGAAACGACGCGGACCCGGGGAATTCGAACAATATAGATGTCCTTTCGGCGCGATGGCTGTTTCTTCGTAAGTGAATAATGTATAATCACAGTCCATAGAGTATAATTTGAAATTTCCATGAACGTTAGAGGACCCTCTAACGTTCATGGAAATTTCATATTATTATATTCCGTTAAATTACTCTGGCCATCTCGCTTATCAGAACCAGAGAACAAGTGCTTATAACATATGTTCTTGTACGATAACAATATTCCTTAGATCATATATGAGTATATGATCTAAGCAATATTCATATCTATTATCTCTATGACTATATCAAAATTCAAAATATCTCAAATGTGAATGTGAAATTACACAAATTATATTAGTGATCACTGAAATAGTGTAATACGGGATTAAGTAAATTTGAAAAATGTAAAATAATGAAAAATATTTGCTTAAATTTGAACTCTGAAGTAACACAACAATAAATAAATTACAAAATGTTATAGTAAGTTCTCAAAATATGCAACACTTAAAATAACACTCGTTTATTTATACTTTTAGATTTTTAATATTGTATTTATTATAATTTATAATATACCTATATATAATCTAGTTATTACTTGTCATAATTTTGTTCATGTATTATTATTTTTTTTTATAGGTGTAAATTGTAATATTATGTGGAACAATTATAAGAGATTATTTAATGGTTTTAGGGTAAATACAATTATTTGTGTAGCTTACAAAAGCCATTATGAAGCTCTGAATATCTCTAAATCTGCTACACATAAAGAAATAAAAGATGCTTATTATCGACTATCAATGATATATCACCCAGATAAAAATAAAGGAAGTGAAGAAGCTGCAAAAATTTTCCGTGATATAACTTCAGCATATGAAATATTGGGAAATGTCCGTCAAAGAAAATTATATGATAGTGGAGCTAACATAAATCAAAATTCTTCTCAATTTACTACTAAACAACAACCTTTTGAAACAATGTATACAAAAAAAGATATTTATAAAACCAATGCCCATAGCAGAGACTATAATTTTGAGCAGTGGTCTAAGGCTCATTATACAAATGTATTTAGGCGACACTATGAAACTCGAGAAAAACATAAAAGAAATAGAATGAATAGTGAATATGCAGCACGGCAAAATTCATATAATTTATTGACAGTTATGGTTTTTGCAAGTATTTTTATTTTAATTTCAATGTTTGAACATGTGAAACAAATACTAATTGAACGCAAGAGAATAAAAAGAATTTCTGACAAAAATATACAAGATGATTAACATAAATAATTTATTTTAAATTGTTAGTTATTGAATTAGTTTATTGAAAATGTCAAAGAATCAAGTATAAATTCTATGCTATATACTGTTATTAATGTTGTTATGTGATTATTTTGAGTCTTATAATTAAATTTAATTGACATGTACCTTACCTTACCTTATAACTGATATTCCAGATTAATATCAATCAGCTACTAAAATGATAAATAGTAAATTATTTATATTTTCATGCTTTTAGGACATTCATTTGATTTCATAATTATGTATTCACTATAATATCACTTACATTTTATAAGATTTTGTAGGTCACAGAACAGATAAATACAATTTCTTTGAGATAATATTATGCCTGATTACCTAAGTTTTTATTGTTATTTACAATTCCACAACCCTCCCACAATCTTTATATTCAGAAAAACAAAATTTTTACTCCTGACTAATATTTCTTTGGCAATGAGAAATTCACTCTTAAGACTTCTATGGCCCGTTGCCCTGCTATGATGCCACCACCTATAAATTATACCCATACTAACATACGCCAGTGACCTTTTTTTAATTTCTATTTCTGTCCTCGTGCCCTTAATATGATATTTAAACTTTAATACCCAAAATTAACTTTCTTCGTTTTAATCTTGTATTTAGTTAAATTTGTGTAGGTACAAAATTCTACAGCCTAAGATGAAAATTAAGGAAAATATCACAGAATAAATCATAGAACAGTCATCACCATTATCAATATAATATCAATTATTATTTCATCATAGTATACGACATTCACATTATAACCATTATTATTTACCAACGTTCCACCTGTTCAGTATTCTGCTATTTTCTAAATTTTTTCTCTATACTCCATTCTCCTTGAATATTTACCACGAATATAGACATTATATTATATATTTCTTCACTTTTTTATGTCCTGAACTTTATGGATATGACGTGTATTGTGTATTTGTGTATATAGTTCAGTGGTGAGTGGTCCACAACATAATATCACAGAATAGATAATATTCTTTACTCTATGATATAGACCTATTATACTATAGTAACTAATAACTATTGACCAATGTACATTGGTACAGAACACTCAACACTAATTAAGATATATAATCTTAATTAGTGGTACAGACATAATATGAGTTATTATTTGTATGACTATAATAACTAATAAGACTATCATATTATGAATAATGAATTATAAAAATGGTTTTCATATGACTGGTATTACTGTATTAGTGGTATTAGCGCAGAACAATAGGTATGGTATTGATGTACACACTTCACTCATAGGGAAGAGACTTGTTAGTACTTAGTTACTAGTTTATTACTGATGAACTTTGCTATGGTTTCAACTCTTTTTGTCATCTACCTATGTCCTATACTCTAAAATCGTAATTATAATCTCTAATAGTTTATAATTATTAATTATAATATAACAAAATATGATGTATGATAGTAATTACTAATTTCCATTACAAAATAGACAAATAGTTATTTAATAACTTTAATAACTATACCCACAAACGTCTATACTCTATACTATATTACCATGATAAAGAAATGTGTGAATTAATCATAACTAGAACAATTAAAATATTAAATTGGTAAAATGGTAACTACTGTGAGTTTATCACGTACAAGTCTTATCATGAATTATGATATAAATTATAAATATTATAAATGGTTAGTGTATGAATGACAAGACAAGCTATATTGCGATTTGCGACCGGCTGAACAGTGAACACTAAACATTAATTATTAATGGTGTAATGTGTTAACAAACTGCTGAGTGTTAAATCTAAAAAGCTTGTTGCCTTATTCACCAATCGCCATAGGATAAAGTTTGTATTTAGTATTTATAATTATTCGGTGGTAAACATTAACCCCAGTGAAATGAACTCTAAAGTTGTATAAACTATTAATAATTTCTCCATCACCGTTTTTCAACTTATTTTTGACAATGAGTCTTATATTTAATAGATTTAACAAATCTGTTGCACATTATTTCAAATTCACAGCACTGTACTCGACTCAAACACATTTTGGTTTTCAAACAGTCGACGAAGCTGAAAAATCGAAAAAAGGTATTTAAAAATCTTTTCTAAACGTGTTAATTCTCACATCATCTATATAGGTCTAGTTATGAAAAAACATAAGATATTGCGTAATAAATGGAAAAAAATTCGTCGCAAACTTCGGAGACAAGACAAAGCGGTGAAACGAGAAGAATTCCTTCAAAAACAAGAACATGATCGTTTAAACTCTCCAACATATCAAAAATGGGTAAAAAGTCAAGAAGAATCAGAAAAGTTTGAACAAAATGAAAATGAACGGATTGTTGCTATGCAATATTCAAAATGGGTTGAGAGAGAGTGTGCGGCTATCGAAGAATGGAAATCGTTACAGAAGAAGTTAGAGAAGATTAAACAAGAAAAAGCTCAAAAAGAATTATTAATTAAATTAGAGTGGGAGAGAGAACAGAATAAAATTAAAGAAACAGAAGAAAATAAAAAAAAAGAAGAACAACAACGCGAAGAAATAAATGCCAAATTCATTGAAGAAATTGAAATGTATATCAATAATTTGGGCCCCCTGCCTGAATCTATTAATGTTGGTACAAGTACAAGACCAGACCAACCTCTGTGTCCTTTTTTTTCAAAAGTTGCAGCTTGTCGCTTTCGCGACAACTGTTCAAGAAATCATGTTCGACCAGGCATTAGTAATACATTGTTGATTCCTGGATTTTATAAAAATTTTGAACTGAACATGCGCTATGAACGTGAATTTGATATTGATATTAGTTTGGAGTGTGATGAAAAAGAGGCGTATGAAAAATTTTATGAATTTTTTGAAGATATATTAGTTGAACTTAGAAGTTATGGACAGATAATTGAACTTAATGTTTGTAGAAATCAAGAAATACATCTTATGGGCAATGTTTATGTCCAATATAGAAGTAGACGACATTCTTTAAAAGCATATCGAAACTTATGTGGTCGTTTCTATGGTGGACGCAAGATAACTGCTGAATTCTGTACTATTCCTTCATGGTCTGAAGCGGTATGTGGATTATTTTTTAGAAAAATGTGTCCAAAAGGAAAAAATTGTAATTATTTGCATTTATATAAAAATCCTGGGGGCAAATATCAATCAAAACCACAAAAAAATCGAAATGAAAACTCAAGTCATGGTCATAGAGAAAACTCAAGTCATAGTCATAGAGAAAATAAATATAATTCTAGTAAAAGGGAACGAGAACATTCTAGAACAAATACAGAAAGAAAGAGCAGTTCAAATAGAGAGAAGAGATCAATGGATAGTTCTTCTCAGAGAGAGACGTTGAACACTCCTCAATGGGATAACACTCCAGATCGATCAAACAAAAGTTCTGGACCACTTAACTGGGACAGTGATGATGATTAAATAATTTAAAATGGTGTACAAAGATTTACAAATTTAAAATGGAAGGATGATAAAATAAACATTACCTTACACATTTTAAATTAGTAACACTGTGGCGATCCTTTAAAATCTCATTGAATTACATTTAAGTAATTAAACTAAAACTAATATAGTTAATTAAAAATTTTAAATTGTATTGAATTAAAATTGAACTGAATATAATGTTATGCTATATGTATATGTAGCCATGTATATAAATTACATATTTATGTTTTTAAATGTGTAATTGAAGTATCACAAATTCAATTTATCAAAATATGAATAAAAATTGTATGTTTGTGTTTTTAGTTATAACCTTAAATAAATGATTAATATTTGATGTATGCCATGTACCTAAGTATGAATCTTAAACTAACTATTTATGGGAATTAATTATTTGTAAATCATAAGGAACCTAATATAACGAAAGTGACTGAAGTCTGAAATATATTTTTTATAAAAATTTAATAACAACACTAAATTTTACTCATTACCTAAAGTAATATAATATTTATTATACATGTTTCGTTCCTAAATATATTTATTTTATGGTTTGACTTTATACTAATAAATAGTTTTAGCAAATATTAATAGACAATTTTATAATTATTTTGTAACTTAAAAATCATGTGATGACGTTTTTAGTGCATCAAGTTTTTAAAAGTGTGGCGGATTCATATGATGCTATGAATGATGTTATGAGCTGTGGTGTACATAGATTATGGAAAGATGAATTAATGAGAACATTGGATCCAAGTCCACGCACACGATTATTAGACGTTGCTGGTGGAACAGGTATAATATAATATTAATTGTCTATTTTTAATTTCAAAAAGCCATAAGGTACCATTAATTAAAACAAGTTTAGAGTCTACTTCAATGTTATTTTCAATAATGATTATTAGACAGTATCAATTTATAAGCAATTGTTTAATTTAAAATACATTAATTCTTGATATCTGGTTAGATATTGAAAAAAAAAAACTGCTGTACACAACTTACAATAAATGTATTCACACACAATATATAAAAAATATTGATGTAAATACCTACACTCAATTCTGACAATAGTGTAATTTCTATTCAAGTTAAGAAACAAACTTAGTAGTAACCAGTTTTTGTTGAACGGCAGTCAGACATCAACAGTCTGTCACACAAGGTCCCCGAAGTATGCATCTTAACTTGAACAGAGTATAGTTTAAGTTTCTTAATCTTACATTAATTCATTATTGAAAATTGTATATAATTTAATTGACAAATGTTTTATTTTATTAAACCTAATACATTTATTATTGTTTTAGGAGATATTGCGTTTAGATATTTAAAATATATATCAGATATGAAAGGAGATGGACATGTGACAATCGCCGACATTAATGGTTCAATGTTGGAGGAAGGGAAAAAAAGAGCATTAAATTTGGAATTAAATCAAGACAACGTCTCATGGGTAGAATGTGACGCAGAAAACTTACCGATGGAATCAGATTCTTATTCTGCTTATACAATAGCATTTGGTATTCGTAACGTGACACACATTGACAAAGCTTTAGATGAAGCGTATAGAGTACTTGAACCTGGTGGTAGATTTCTTTGTCTAGAATTTAGCCAAGTTAACCCAGCAGCTTTAAGATGGTATAATATTCCCTTATTTTTGTACTTTTATATAACAATTTAGTAGCATTTTTATCCTAAGGTTATACGATCAATATTCATTCAACGTAATCCCCGTTATGGGCCACGTAGTTGCTGGTCAATGGAAACCATACCAATACTTAGTGGAAAGCATTAGGAAATTTCCATGTCAGGTAAATATCTATGAGTACCCTAAAGGTATGGTTTCCCAATTGCGGCTTGCCGCAATTACTGCTCCGCTAAGGAACAACATTAAAGTTGTCGCAGCCAACAACTGTACTGGTCCACAAGCAGTATATTATATTGCTCATTAGTTGTAGCTTGGAAACCGTACCTTTAGATGATCAAATAATATAATATAATAGGTTTATTTATTAAACTTGATTGACTCATTCACTAAAAAGCCATATTGATATCCTATATTTTTTTTTCCATAGGAAGATTTCAAATACATGATTGAGTCGGCAGGGTTCAGATGTGTCACTTACACAAACTTAACATTTGGTGTTGTAGCAATTCACTCAGGATTCAAATTATAAAACTTATAATTCAATCAAAAACAATACTGAAATAATTAATTATTATACTATAATTAAGTGAGAATATAGAACTGTTAATTTAAAATTTTATTTTAGAATTTTTTAATCATCAATGTTAAGACGCTACTTGAAACATTCTTGTTTACACCAGTCAAAGAACACAAAATAATTTTAATATATCTATGTTGAAAAAAAAAATATAATAAATAAACCAATTATTTAAAAAAAAAATCTATCAAAGATCTATAAGTATCATAAACATATTAATAAAAAAAAAATTATACATAAGTAAACAATAACAACATAATCCACTTTTAACTGTTATCTATGTCGGTGACGTGTTCTCATTCCATTGAAAATAATGTTATATTATTATCAGTGTAATGTTGGACTGCATATAATTTACAAGACATTTTAAAAACTGTTTATCTGGTTACAAAAGTTTTCTTAATATTATGAACATACATGCAACCCAACATAATCTAAGTAACTATTTAAATTATACACAATACAGTCCCAAATTTTATTAACATATTTGTTTTTTAATGGACTAGAAATAATTACAATAGTAATATAGTTGAGGACATGAAAATACTAATAAAATATTTGTTTACTGTGTAGTTAACATATTTTTAATAAAATAGTAATGCAAGAATGAGAGTAGCCTGTTAAGAAGGAGTTAAAAACGCGAGGGGAATAAAAAGAGTATAAGCCATTGTTGATGATGGCACACTCATATATATATATAATATATATTAAAAGCTACTCGCACATTTTAGTTTAGAAAAAAAAATTATAATAAAAATAGTTAGTAATGAGAAAAATTGTCAAGCCCTTCCAATAGATATCGTCATTTAACTCTTATAAATAATAATTTTAAAAAATGCACGGGGAATGTTATAAATATTGTATAATTTTTTGGTATCAAAACATTCAAAAAAAAATAAAACGAGTGGCTAATGCTCATAAAAATATTTATTTTTGTAAGAGTAGATGGTGAAATATTTGTTTTATTTTTTTATTAATTTTTGCATATTGGAAGGGGACATGTGCAATAGTCAATTTAAAGTTTAACCGCTCTTGAATAGCAGTATGGCCACCTGGCCCAGATAGAAGTATATGAAGTGCCTCGTTTCATGTGTAACATAACTTCCAAAATTGCGGCCAACAATACAATGCCAAGTTGGATTATATTTTTTGTCGAATTCTTTCTTTATATATGCAGCAATGTCCTATTTAAACAAGAAAGTATATTTTTTATTAAGATATCACAACTAATTTACTTAACAGTAGGAAATACATAATTAAAATTTAATTCCACTAACTATTTCTAACACATTTTATAATAAATATTGTATTTGTTGTTATCCAGTACAGTAGTTAAGTAATAAATGTTTTATTAACTATAGAAACTATATTATAATGGGATTAAAAAATGAATTATTTAAATTTTATGAAATTAGAACAACATGTTACTTTAGTCATATCTTTAACTATATACTCCGGCCCACGCCCAAGAGAGTCCATACGTAAAAACGCGTCTGTCGCTGAGCGTCGGTACATTGCCGAATAGTGGGAATGGCATCATGGTGGGAGAAAACAGACGTAGCCTATTACTATATTGATGCGCGGTTTACATATGGACTGTCGCGGGCCGGAGTATAGTTTAGATCAGCAGACTGCTATTTAAAAATATAATACTGATTGTTGATAGTTAATAACTAATAAGACAGAAAATAATTATTCCGATCTATAAAACTATGTATCTGAAAATTTAAATAAAGTATGTACAATTAATTACGTAATGAAACTAAAATTACTGTATATTTATAAATAATAAAAAGATATCTGAATTTACCACTCACATAATAATGATTTTTAACAGAAATCGTACATCCTAGACGCATTCACTACTTAATCAGCATTTTAAGACGAAATATTAAAAATATTTTAATAAAATATATAATATAACAAAGTAATCACTTACACACATTTAGCAAATATTACCAACAACGTTGATACAATTTACAAGCTTGCGTATAAATTATTGAGATCAAAAACAAAATTATAATAAAAATTGAGATAATTATAGTTAAATTTTATGCTTTGGGTAACTACATATCTAGTTAATGAAAAACTAACTTTTAAAAGTTGCATCACTGCCTCTTACCTTAATATTTTCTATTAAATACAGATTAAAATGTATAGCAGATATTATAATAATAATGATCACACCAGAACTGTGATTAGTTATTTTACATTTCACTAAAAAAAAGCATTAAGTATATAATACCAATAAAAACAAGCAAAATATGCTTACAATGAATATTTTAGAAAACCAAAATAATATTATATTGTTAAAATGAATTTATCTACCTACATTTGTTGATTTAACCTACATAATTAAATTTTTAAAAGCTAAGTGGTTAAGTATTATTATTTAGGTACCTACTTAAAATAATATTGATTTTCCAATCAATTTGTTTACATAGGTAGTATTAATAATTATTAATGAGAATTTTTTTAATTAAACAATAGATAATAAAACAATACCACTTTTTAAATAAAATTATATAACAGAAAATTGCTTACAGAAAATTAAAATTAATCAAACGCCAATACATAAATTACATTATACATTACTTTTCGAGATATATCTTACCTTTTCAATATTGTACTTTTCAAGTGCTTGGGTAGCACAATCAACAGCATCTTGCTGCATCTCCTCAGACATGTCAGCGTTTTTAATCACTGCCTTGCGATCAGACATCTTTAGTATGAATTCGAATCACTGGAAAAAATTAAATTATTAATCGAGAACCTCGGCCGTAAAAACTATTCAAGACATTTTGTGATTTTAATATTATTTTTTAGTTGCATTAAAAACTAGTTTACAAATCGAAACGTTAAACGATAGCTTACCTTTAAACGAAAAATGCAAGTAACTAGTCAGTAGTCGGCGATCTCGCACCGTTTCGATGAACTCCCTCGACGACTGAAAATCCCTAGCCACAACTAAATTAACAAGTAAATATTTTAACGTTTGGTCACAATAACTCCCAAATTTCGCCGATTAAATGACTGTCGTAGGAGTAATGTTAACAACTCTGTTTGAGCAAAACTCTCTACTCTCATTGGCCGGGAAACGGCGGTTTCTATCAGCCATTCTACTATCGTCGAACCATCGACCCAGCGAATCGATAAAATTTTTATTCTTCCATGACGCCTCCAAAAAAACAAAAATTACAGTCCATACTATTATTATCGAACGCCGTGAAATAAACAAAAAAAAAACTTGTAATTTGTAACGATTTTGTTATTGAAAAATAATATGAATGTCGAATATATCGATGCACGTCTGCACGAGACAAATAAACTGTAGAGTAGTCTTCCATTTGTATATTAAATACAATTATCATACAAATTGTAATTGATTATATTCATGTCTAATGTGTACAATCACCAACAATGAGAACGACTGAGAAGTAGAAGACGTCGTGTAGAACGTATATAATATAAACGATGGCATCAAATACATCGATACTTTAGTGTTTTTACTGGAAAATAAATGACCACATTAGTAAGAGTCAATAAGAAATCGAGTGTCCATGGTTTTCAACTTAATTAAATTGAGTATTAAGTATTTAATTATTAACTATCGTCATATATAATTATATATTACACAAAAAAAAATCAATGATTATAATGTTTATCTAGTATTATGAATTATAAATTATTAGTTTAATTAACTGTCTTACAAATGTCTACAATGTACAACATAGCAAAAACTGTTTTGAGCTGGAAAGAACTGAAAACGCTAGTCAGTACAGTCATAACTAAGAAACGACATTTTCACCTCATAAAAAGGAGAACTTTGGCTGTGCAATATATCGTTTTTATTTATTCGTTATCGGAACTTTGAAAAACACGTATAATAATGGATTTTCAAACAATAAGAACTTTTTTCGTATGAGTGATATCGAAAAAATAAAAACGATATTGCACAAACAAAGTTCTCCTTTATATGTGGTGAAAATATCGTTTCTTCTTTAGTTATGACTGTAGCCGTAAGTGTGTAAGACGGAGACGACATATGCGGGTGCGACGTCCTCTTAAATCAGTAATTTATTAAGATAGATGAACGAAATTTTCACCACATCTAGAGGAGAATTTTGGCTGCGCAATATAATCGTTTTATTTTTTGGTATCACTTATACAAAAAATTCTTATGTAAACTTTTTTTGGATAACGAAAAAATAAAAACGATATTGCACAGCCAAAGTCCTCCTTTATATTATGTTGTGAACATTTCGTTTCTTAGTTATGATTGTAGCCTACTCGGTTCTTTCATGCGCTAAAATGTTTTTGCTATACCGTACGTGTATAAGACATTTGCGGGTTCCACGTCCTCTTAAGAGGATGTCACACCCGCATGTGTTGTCTCCGTCTTACAAATGTACAACATAGCAAAAACTGTTTTGCGTGGGACAACTTCTCTCCCACCATATTTGTTGTAGAACTACCAAATTTTCACAACACTTAAAGAACAACTTTATCTGTACAACAGAGTGTTATTTTTTATATCACTATCCAATCATTTTTTATAAGTAAATAAAAAAAAAACAAAATAACCAAATGTTTAGAAGCAAATAACCTTTATTGTATTTATGTTATCTAAAATATGGGCACGCTGTTGCATAGATAATTTTAATGTTCAGAAATTTTGGAGCCACTAATCAAACACAGAAAGATAAAATAAATGTTGTCCCGCGCAAAACAGTTTTTGGTATGCCGTACGTGTGTTAGACGGAGACGACATTTGCGGGTGCGACGTCCTCTTAAATAGTATCCCTTTCATCGATATTGAAATTATCTCCCCAACACGCAGCACGCAGCACGGACATATCACATCGTATATTATTATAACACGTAATATACGTACCATTTCCGTGCTCTACGGTGTTAAATTTAGGCTTATCGATTAAACAAACATGAAGTATTATTATCTACATTCCAAAGTTAAAACAATGATTTCAATTATTATACTCTAATTCCTAGAACATAAAAACGTCAATGGGTGTCCCGGCCATATTATAACGGTAGAGTCTGAGCGTAAAACGATTAAAATATCGAACGCGATTACGCGGGGGCACAGTCCACGCCATATTATTATCACCGTAAACATCGATGTTGAAAAAATATCGTCCACGATCGATGAATATTATTGAGTAATTTTGACATTTGAACGTAACAATTATTAAACAAAAACCCGTAGTCTGACACATATTATAAAAATCGTCTGTCGTGCGCGTAAATTGCCTTTGGAATTATTATGATGTTCGACGGGCCTCAGTGAACATTGCTGTTGTTGCTATGTAACAGTTTTCGGGAAATTCTCTCGTTTTACATATTAGTCATCCTCGTTTTATCGACATTATCTCTATCGACTATCAAGCGCAGCACACCTCGCGCGCCTTCTCTTTCGCATCGCCGACTGTCGCAGTGCCGAACCGCCGCCAAGTGTCGATATCCACTATCGTCTCCAGACAGGCGTCATAATAATTATTATTTGAGTCGTTTTCAATACGCTTTTACATTCCAACTCGTTCGCGAGCGATACCGAAACGATTTTCATCCGGACAAATCGTACAAGTGATATACATACTGCACATTGTCACCACATACTACCTCAAACCACTCGGGAAAATGTCCAACAACGACTGTAGAATTTACGTGGGAAACCTGCCGCCCGACATACGCACGAAAGACATACAAGATTTGTTCTACAAATTCGGTAAAGTGTTGTTTGTCGATCTAAAAAATCAGAGAGGACCGCCGTTTGCATTTGTCGAGTTCGACGATCCTAGGTAATATATTTTTCATCCAACGAATTCAAATATTTGTTTTACGGATGATTTTACGTTTATTGATAATATCGTGTGCCTAAATTTTTATTACCCGTTATGTAAGAGTGATGGCGTATTTCCCTTTTTTATCATTTTTTTTTTTAATATTTAATTCCAAAACAAAACCTATTAACTAAGTTACTACTTTTCATGTTCTCAATTTTTAATAATTGCACTAGTTATATAGGTAGTAGATGATTTCATGATGCTTTGGATTTCAAATGAAATAGGTACATATATTTAGTTGAAAATTGTTCATAGAAATTATTTTTTATTTCATCGATGAAACAATTACTAAACTAAAGCATAGGTACAATAATATAGCTTATCTACCTACTTATTGTTATTCAATCTACCATGAGCCAATTTGTTGTGGTATATAAAAAAAAAAACTAGTGTTTTCCGTAACAAAGCAAATCTACACTCAGCAGATTACGTTGCTTTGTTAGTTTTAAAAATTTGAGTGAATCAAACCAATTATGAAACTTGGTGGTAAGAACATAACTGTGTGTGTGTGTGGGTTTTTTATACAGTAGTTCAGTTTTTAAGTAAGTTATGAGTACCTAGGTATTTTTAATTTATACTAAATTTACATTTGTATACCTACTACAATTTGCTAAAAAATTGAACTCCCCTACAAAACCCACATACAAACACAGAAATGTTCTTTACCATCAAGTTCCATAATATGTCAATTTACTCTAATATGAACGAAGCTCAACGTGATCTGCTGAGAGTAGTAGAGTACACTTGTTATATTATACATTTGTAATACGGAGACAACAAATATCTGTGTAGCGTTCTCTTAACTCATTACGTAATCCCACCTGGCATTTTTGACTACTCTAATTACTATCAAAAATTTGTTGATAAGTTAGGAATTAAATTTTATTACATGGGGTGAAAAATGTTCCTACCAACTGCTGTTATGGTGCACATCGGTTATAATATTAGAGCAGGTACTACCAATGTTTGGTTTTGTGCTGCCTTATGGGTGATTATAACTATAATATAGGTACTTACAGGTGTTACCTATTGAAAAATAAACTGTAAGACTTGTGATACATTATTATTTTGATGATTGTTAATTGTTCTTAGTGATAAATAAAATTTTTTAATTAGAGATGCAGAAGATGCCGTTCATGCTAGAGATGGTTATGATTATGATGGCTACAGATTACGTGTAGAGTTTCCACGTGGAAATGGTCCACATAGAAGTGGCGGAGGTGGTGGCAGTAGTAGTGGTGGTGGCGGCGGTGGTGGAAGTTATAATAGAGGAGGTGCTAGTGGTGGAAGCGGAAGAAGCAGAGGTCCACCAGCGAGGCGTTCTCCGATAGAGTACTTGTTACTGGTAAGTATTTAATTTTGATTTATTATGCAAGTTATTCTTAGAATTGTATGTTATTAAATTACTCCAAATGAATTGAATATTTATAAAAAAAAACCTTTAAATATTATTGTCAAATGTTCCTTGACATTTAAAAACAGCTAGTTTCAATTATTACTTTTTTTTGCAAATAAAACTGCAAACCTTTATTAATTTTCCTTGGATTTGATATACTTTTATAAAATTAATATAAGGTTACCTGGATCACTAAACATTTATTAATGTTACTATTAAATATTAATAGTGGTCCCTTAAACATGATTCAATGGCCTATGATCGGTACATTACACATTTTATTGAACCGTTAACCCAAGTCTTATTACAAAACAACCTGAATTATATTATTTATTAATTTTATAATATATTATCTAAACATTTTAGGATTACCAGCATCTGGAAGTTGGCAAGATTTAAAAGATCATATGCGTGAAGCAGGAGATGTGTGTTATGCAGATGTATACAAAGATGGATCTGGCGTAGTTGAGTTTTTACGTTATGACGATATGAAATATGCTGTTCGTAAGCTTGATGACTCGAGATTCAGGTCTCACGAGGTTTGTTTAATAATTATTGCTCCAACTATTATTTTATATTTGGTGCGTCAAACATATAAAAGTATTGAAGTATAATGTTCTATGACTATGATTTATATTTTAACACGTTCACTGCGGATCACAAATGTTTAAATAAATGTGCAGAAAAACTTTACTTTTTTTTTACGGTATCAATCGACTTAAAATAAAATTATCAACATATGACTTGCATATATTTAAAAAATATTTACAATAATACTTTATTCAAATGGTCAATTCTTCTCCTACTTGTTAACACCGGTGCTTTGGACTAAAGCACCCCCATGCACGGAAGTTGGCCTCTGAGGTACAGTCTCATTTTGATAAAAAAATATTTATTTAATCATAAAGCTGACTGAATTACAGTGCATTGAAAAATAAGTGGCATATTATGCCAATTTTTGTTCTCACAGGAACATGTTAAAAAAATAAAAACGATAAATGCTTTAATTGTTTATTCTAATAGATAGAGTTATATATTATGAGTTAATTGAAGATACCAAAATTATTCTGTAGAATATCTTATCAGTTTAGGTACATAGATAAATATTGTTTATAATTTTATTTTTGACTAGGGTGAAGTAACATATATTCGAGGTAAAGATGATTATGCGGTGGAAGCAGTCGTCGCAGTCGTGATTATAATAGTCGCAGTCGTAGCCGCTCCGCTAGCTATTCACCTAGAGATCGTGGAACACCAACATATTCACCAGTTAGAAAACGTCGTAGTATTCAAGATCTCGTTCCCGTTCGTAAATTGAGGATAACAAATGGTAAAGCATGCTACAAATACATAATTGACCCTCATTCCATATTTAGTGTTTTTTTCTTATTATTTTTTTTTTATTTTTTATTAGAAAACATTTTTTGATAAATTTATATCAGAGGGTTAAACTAAGTTAAAAGTGTTTTGTCATATTTTATTACATTAATATTGTAGCTGATTATAACTGGATTGAAATTTGACACAAATAACGGACACGTAGCCATTAATCAAAGGATATATAATTGATTTTATTTGCCACCTATTGTCGTCAAAATTGGAAAATATATGCTCATCAAATGGATTAAAATTATGAAATGTTATTTTATCATGAGAAACAAAGTGGACCATTACCATGAGTTAATAAACTCATTTTAAGGAGAATAAGACGTAACTATTATGGAAAATAACATTTGTATTATGTTATTTACTGAATTAAATGGAATTGGTTCCTTTTGCCTCACATGATGGATGCAAAGGGGATAAATGTGAAGGAAACTACCTTACTTAGGAATACAACGCATACAACACACATTTGAAATCTTCTATGCGTAATAACTGGATTTTGGATCTTTAAATTCCAAATTCATCTTTTTATACTAATTATCACGACAATGATTCATGTAGGAATATAACTATACAATATATTTAAAAAGATGGATGATGTTAAGTACAATGTATCAGTTTATGAATTAAAAACATTACTCAAACGGACTCTACCCTGGATCTTTTGTTAAAAACTGTTGAAAATGAAGACATCCAGGAAATACGTTATTCATGTAGGACACAAACGTAGGATTTATAATTTTTTTTAAACTGACATACATGGAATTATTTTAACATTGATGGATATTCATTATTTATTGGATGGATCTGGATTTGGAACATCTTTTCCTTTGGACATCCAGAACCTAGGAACTATCGGGGAGGAGCATTATAGCTAAAATGGATTATTCTGAACCTACATAAATAATGGATTACAAATGGATTTATTAAGAGGAAAATAATGGACCATAGGACAAAAACAAATTATTATGGATTGATTATGTGCTGAAAAATATATCAAATAGTCATATTTTTACTATTTGTTAAGAAATTTAACCTTAATAAAATAATCATGTATGTTATATAAAATTATAATTAATACATAATTTTATTTTTAAAACAACTAGAATTTAAAAAAGTTACAATTTCAGTACAACGTATATGAAGTATTAATAGTAAAATATAACTACTTCACTTTTAAACTTTAATAACTGCATATGTATTGTATTTTGATATAAAAATCAAAACATACTGCTATAAGTTAAAAAATCAAATTTATAATATTATGTCTGGTTTTCATAATAACTAATAGGATATTGTGTCTACCTGGTGCCTCCTTATTACTAACACATCACTTATTACATTTACTTTATTTTAAATAAAAGATTATTAGGTATAATAGATTATTCTGTAATATTTCGTAAAATGTTTATGTGTTAGTTAGATGGAGAAAACATATATCTTAATAATATAATATATTTTATTTTATTTAAATGCAGTACCCTAATAATATAAATTCAATGAAATATAAATATTCTAAAGTATGAAATAGTAAAATTCTTATAAAAAAAATATTGATACAAAATAATAATTTAAATAAAAAAGTATATAAGGTAAGACTTATTAGTATTTGATGGGTGGGGGGGGATAAATTATCATGTATATTTACTCTAATCATTTAAACAAATAAACTTATTTTTACTGATAAGGAACAGTAATGACTCAGAAAAAAGATAATCAATTAAATCCAATAAAATTATATTATAATTTATTATGGTAGTAAAAAATTGTATATTGATATAAAATATTCCGCATTTAATTAAACAATTTATTGTTTCCTCATTTTATAAAAGAAAAATTATGTTTAATTATTAATCATTACAAGTAAACACTGAATAAAATATATATTGATACATTCCGAAGACTAGTTTTAACAATATAAACCACTATTTTATAGAATTAAAGTTATTCTATAAACATTTTGGGTAAGTTTTGTTCTATTTAAAAAGTTAAGAAAATATATTTATATATTTTAGTTATATAAATAAAAATATATAAAATCGGTGATTACGCAGTTGAATTTATTATTCAAAATAAATAGATAAGATTGGTGTTTAATAAAGATAATAATTATTGCAGTTTGGCAAAGAAACAATAAAGTGAAAATAAAATTTAAATATTTTAATTAAAGCGTTTAAAACTTGTTTGTTTGTGTAATAATTATGTTCTATAGATTATGCTTTTATAATCTAATCATTGTATGATTGATGGTAGTATTGTCTTTAAATGGAATAATACTTAGATTTACAACATCATTAAACATTACATATAATGTGTTTATTTGGTTCTCGTCTATATTATGTAAGTATTATGTAAGTATATTTAAATAATCAAATGTGTTTTAGTTTTTAAATAAATATTGTATACTTTATTTTTCATAATTGATGTCAGAATGTGTTAAAATCGATTAATTTTACTAAACTATAATTTATATAACCAACATTTCTAGTGTAATACAATAAGTTTCATTTTGTATAACTTTTTATTAATGCATGATTGCTCTCCGCAATTCAAAGTCAAGAGGAATGAAACAAAAATTTGTACTCAAAGGAAAACCAAATGTTTTGACAGTTTGAAGGAACTGTTAATATTTTAATATTAGTAATTTCAAATTATAATTATTATCAAATTTGACTTATTGTGAGTCAATTGTATTATTATGATTATTATTATTTGATAGTCTGTTTAAAATTTAAATTGTATACAACATTTAAAATTTGATTAATGTTAATTTATTTTTCAGTTAACAGATATACAAAAATTTACACTATATGAATAATATATCTATTAAAATCATTGTAAAAGATAATGAAAACGTAGAATTTAATGTACCAAGTTCAACTGAATATTTGTTTTTTATGATACCAAAACTCTCAAGTGAAATACAAATATATTGAATATGTTCTTATTGAGTATTTAATTATAAATTTAATTGATTATGGGTTAAATCTATTTGTTTCTTTAGACTGCCTGTCTCAAGTCAATGGAAACATTTTAATGATGATAATAATGTATTGCTTACTATACTGGGACAACACCTTGCCCTCTTGTTTTTAATCAGTGGACATACAACAGAATCCATTCACTAAGTTAATCAATATCACTGGCCATCTGATCAATACATCATACATTTTATTGGTATTTTTCTTTTATAAACGTATTTTGCATGACCCAATAATTTTGAAACCTTCTTTTGAAATATAGTAACTTTTAATATTGAATACTATAATAATCATACAATTCCATTTTTATTAATTTATCAGTAATTCACCTAATCCAAACATGTGTGATCTTACACTTACTGAAACAAACCTTGGGCAACAGTGGCATAGCCAGGGGTGCTGAGGAGGCTGCAGCCCCCCCCCCCCCGAAATGTTAAGAAAATTTAAAAATTATTTTTATGGTCTATAATAGTCGCTCAAAAAGTCTTGCATTATATTTAAAATATTCAAAAATTTACGTATAAGTATTAACACCTTTCAGCTATCTGTGGTAGTACTTATTTAATGTATAAAAGTGTAAAAGTTGATCCCCCTCCTCCCCGAAAAAAAATTCTGGCTACGCCACTGTTGGGCAACTATACAATGAAGATTTGTAATCGTTTAAATTACAATATGGCAGGGGCGCCTGCAGAAATCAGCTCAGTAGGCTCAAAATTAAATTTATGTTATTCATGTATAACATATACCTAACATAGGTACTAGGTAGTCACATATTTACATTATTATAAACTGATTTTTTGTACATTAAAAAAATCCCCTCTGCGGGCGCCCTTGGAATATGGGAAAGGAACAAAAATGTCTGTACTACTAAAGCATGTTACCATTGATTTATAATCAATGGTTATACTTTATATCTATAGTGTTTTTTACATCAGTATGCTTAAATAATATTAGATTTTGGAACTCAAAATGTTTAGTCTGCATTTGATCTGAACATTGAACAAAAAGTCTTGTCATTATATAGAAATTAATCAAACAATATACATTTTGTTATATCATTGAGTATCATTGATAAATAAATCATTATTTGTTCAGATAAAACTATACATTTAATAGGAAAGTATATTATCATTGATTATAAATACTATTATTTTAATCAATGCTATTATGTAAACCCCATAGAATGTTTCTTGTCTGAAATTGGCTAATTAGTAGGATTAGGTTTTTTGTCATTCCACTAGCTGTCTAAAATATATTCCAATTCATTATTTACGACACCTAAGTATTTTAATTCTCATAAAAATTTGTATTTTTAGTTGATTGGTTTCTTATAATACTGTCAGAGAAATGGACCTGTCATGTGTATAAATATACTAGCTATAATTCGTGCACCCTGGTTCGTGATATACATTATTTTTAATTATTATAATTTCCATTATTTCAGTTTTAAAATTTAAAATAAAATATATACTTATATATTATAATATCACTGGCCCCTTTGCATCTTTGAAATACATTTTCACAATAACTAATTTAAAATGTGAGTGTATAAATTAGTTACTTCTTCATATTAATTTTAAATCTTAAAATATAAGATAGCTATTTGATATAAGTAATTATTTTTTAAAACTATATAATATTTTTGATTTCAGAAAACATTTAATGTAATAAATACAGACAATTTACAAGATGGTAACATGAATAATTAAAAGAGTAATAATTCATATGAAAGAAATTATAGACACTGCAATTATTTTTTAACTACTGTCCACAAAACTATTACTCCATTTTTTTTTAAATATTAATTTTACAAATATCTTTCATACTTCAGTAATAAGAACTTTTGATTGTATTCACATTCCACAATAATGTGTACCTACCTCTACTCAAACTTTTCTTCTATTTAAAATTTCCCTCGTCTTAACCTATAAAATCTATACAAACAAAAGTTTCATCACTTATTTTTAATTATGTTTCCTCAACCTGCCGGATTTATAGATTTTTGATTATTTCCCTTCACAAGTTTTGACATTGGACAATACTTACAAAAATCTAGAAATAATATTCACTTTTTTAATACTATTTTATTGTTTTGTTTTCAGATCATTGCTAGTTGCTACCATGCAGATAGAATATAAGATACAAGAACCTCAGACACTATTTATAATCTTAGATTTTATTTTGTAAATTGTCTTTTTTTATTCATACATTATTTAATTTTGAATAAATCTATATTTTATGAAACTTAGTATTTTTCTTTCTTTTCGTCACATTTATGATGTTTCATATCAAAATTAATATTAATTGAAAACAAGTTTCTATATTGACCAAGTAAACTTAAAGTATGTATATTGTATATAATATATCAACATCTTGATTATTACATTTTAAACATAGTTTTCAGTTCCCATAAACTTCTTCTTATTTGCATTCATTCATCATTGGGCTCTTAAGACCATCGTAACTCACATCCAAGCCTCTTTCCTTCTCTTTACATTGCCAACAATCTCCAGATCCACCTCCCAACAGTTTAACAATCAACATCCTTTTCAGTAACATATTCTCAGCTTATCCTTGGCTAAATATGTTTTACCAAGAGTATTCTGTTCCATCACTGCACGTAACAATGTATTTTGGTAATTGATCCTTCAAGCGTCCTTGTCTTCCTTTTCTAATAACTTGGTAATTCACTATATAACATTTCTAGCTCTACTTTCTTTCTTCGCCTCCATTATTACCATTGAAATGGCCTTAGATTCTCTGCTATAGGTATTTTCTTTTCTTTCAAAAATAATGATCTTTTTTCCCAAGCGGTCAAGTTACAGATTTATATAGGATAACCAGTTGTATTGGTGATGTATTTAGCTGTTTTTTTTCATTCTTTGTGATAATGTTCGTGTATTCAAGAACTTTTTTAGTACCTAGCATTTATTTCTTGCTTGAATTCTTTCACTTTTTCTATTTAAATAGTATCAAGATATTTGAATTGTTCTACTCTTTTAAATTCTGATCTATTAATGTCGACCGATAAAGTATATTATGTTTGCTCAAGATCATATACTCTGTTTTTTCTTTATTTGCGTATAGTCCAATTTTTATTGCTGCTTCTATAATCTATTAAATAATATCTTCAATCTATCTTTAGATTCCTCCATCAATATTGTCTGTGTAGACTAGTACACTTACCACCATATCTTGTAGTCTAATACCCCCAGCGGTTTAAATTCATTTCTCTAATAACCTTTTCCAATACTATGTTGAATACAATCGATGACTGAATCGCCATACCTTAGTCTGAGTTCACTGTAACTGGATCAGATATTATATTTCTTGATCTTAAACTTTGAACCTATTGCCCACATAAACATTTGTAAAAATTAAAATAATATTAGAACTATGAATGTCCTTTTTAATATTAAAACTGGGTTTCCTATAAAATCATAGATGAACGGACGAAGTAGGACAAGTTAACCTAACCTAAACTTGAACAGGATATTTCACTGCATACTCCACAACTCCAATAAAGGGCCATTTATTATGCTCTTGAAGGGTCTCTTGTTTAAAGAACACAATACTTATTAGTTATTAAAATTTAAAAATATAACCGGAGAGACAGAAATAGACCAAGTTCAAAATGCAACTAAAAGTCATATTTTAATTAACAATAATTTAAGATTATAATACGGCATTTTTTGTTTAGACAGAAGGGTCCAATTTTTTATTTCACATTCCCTCCAGGCTCTTAATGAAGTTTCCACACCCTATACATAAAATGTATAATTGTCCTATATATTTTTAGTGTCCACAACAGTGTAAGAAGGAAACCTGATGTATACCTTTAAAATTCATGTTGTGATAAGGTGGACCAACTAAGGAACCCATGTACTCAAACCAAAATAATATTTTGCACAAAGACCTTCAAATTTATATAGAGATGCATATTGGCCCGGGATCATTGTTATAGATTTAATGAAGTACCAGAGTTGTTACTAAAATTATAGTTACAGAACTCGCTCGAGCAAAAGATTTTTTTTAATTAGTTTATAAATTATTTAATTTTATGATAATCATTCATCACAATTAACAAATGTGAATGTTTATAAATACTGCATGATAATCAACATTGAGCATCATATTCTATACTCTATTCACAATGAGATCATTACTCGGCGGCCTAGTTGTGCGCATGGGCGTGGCTTTGTTTCATAGCAGCGCCTGACGCGTTGCCATAGTGGGGACGGTGTCTCACCATATGTCTACCGCCACCCGACAAAAACTGGTCGCCGCCGAGTAATGATCTCATTGTGAATAGAGTTTAGATGTACATAAAACACAATCAGATTGTGTATTATAAAATCCAAACACATTTTCCTCTAGTAATAGATAGACATAAAAATAATATCAGAACTGAGAACAGCCTTAAAAACAAATAATTTATAATAAATATATTACCAATTTATAATCAAACCACAGAAGTAAAATCTAATTTAAAATAAAAAAATATAAATATAATCTTATACAACTTGATACCATTGAATAGAATACAAAATAATTGAAGGAACATAACATGAAATGTATAGTAAAAAAAATATATTTAGACAATACATTATAGAATACCCTAGTTTGTGTTTACTTATTAATTAATATTTATTTATAAAATAAATGTCTGTTTCAATACTCAATATTAATAACAAAAGAAGATTTTTAATTTTATATTTAATCTATTAAAATAATTTACTGATAAATACCATAAAAATATAATATACTCCCAAATACCTGGTTAAAAATTTGAATAAGTACATTTATCTGAAATGAAAATTTTTATTTATCTTGTATAGGTAGTAACTATTATTTTCAATTTAAATTTCAAACAAAAATAATCCATTTTTTATAATTCTTCTCTATAAAAGTTATTAAGTTGGAAATTTAGAATACTGTTTGGCCCACATTAATACACAAGTTATAAATTAAGTCAGTTATAACGATTGCAGTTCTAGAGGTAACATAACTTTATTAGTTGCAGCAAACCTTTTTAGCATTTCATATTGTCTGACTGTATTTTCAACTTCAGATCTAATCATATTATTTGAATGTTGCAGATCATCTAGCTCTTGATATTCTTGAGATTTTTCTGTTTCTAGTTCATCTTTTTGTTCGATTCTCTTGATACGGCAACTGGAATACATAAGAAGCAATTTTTAAGCAAAAAGTAAGAAATATCAGTTACGGAAGCTTAGTTTTAGTTTGTGACAGCTGACAACTTTAAATTAATTTTACCAATAATAGTGAACTATAAAATCTAGAAACATCAAACAGACAAACTAAAAAAGAATTAAGGATATCTAACAAAGGCTTAAATAATAACAATACCTAGCAGCATATCCCCGATTTTTCAATGTTCGTCTGCGCTGTTTCATGCGTACTATCTGATCTCTAGTCAATCCACGCATCTTCAGTTGACGGTTCAAATCACGTACAGATATCGTAACCAACTCATCATCGCTTATATCCAAAACAGGACTTGGTGAAAGTGGGGGTGGCTGTAAGACCAATGCATTAAGTAAAATATTTATATTTGTACACATTATAGAATTGCGAATTGTCTTTGACAACAAACTCACCAAGTATTCTCTTTTGAGAGGAGACATATTCATTAAAATTGATATTGATTCGACCAAAGATAATAATTATTTGACAAAAAGTTTGCTCTTAAAAAATGACTAATTTTAGGGTAAGTGGTATTATAATGTAACGCAAATATGCAATATAAATATATTATAAGGAATTTTGTTTTTTATACTTGCCAATAATTTCAATTTTTCCTTTCTATTTTTCGTCTATACGTAATTTTTAGTCATGCTCATTAGTCATACGATATTGCGAACTAAACATATAGTTTATTAACTATGTTAGTATAGTAGTATAGTCTATTGTCTAATGTCTATGGAGTGGTGGACAATAACTTTATTTGCAAGTAGTACGAATATAGATGATAATCTTATCTATAATCGTAGTCTTCAGTAAAAAACACAGTTATATGTATACATCTGTGGTAAAAAAACAAAAATAGTAAGCACAAAAAACTATCATCAATATAACTATTATTGTTTTTATCAAATAATAATATTATGTACAATAGGACAATGAGATTACAGCAGCTGAGATTTTCTGTCAAGGTGGATATATATCCATTGTTCACAGTGAAACTTACAAACTCTTTGTAAACTGATGTTAGCAACGATTGTTCCGGCAGAACAACTGATTTTTATAGTGGGTGCCGTGTTCAGGACTTCAGGTGTTCCAGTCCATGAGTCGATCAAAGTGATCAACCTACAAAACACGAGTTTAAAAATTCTCAAAATCCCAAAAGAAAAGAAATTATCAAGCTATACGATATATTACTGTTTACGATCATTTTTGAAAATTCGCCATGTCCGCTATAAGTCTGTTAAATCCCAAAGCGGAATTCGCTCGTGCCGCTCAAGCGTTGGCTGTGAACATTTCGGCTGCAAGAGGCATACAGGATGTGATGAAAACCAATTTGGGACCCAAAGGGACGATGAAAATGTAAGCACCTTAGATTTTACAATTGTATACAACAAATATTATGTTTACTTTAAATGCATGGTAATATGGACGTCTATCGTTGTTGTAGGAGCTGATGTACTATATAATGTATTCTTTAAATAAAATGTAAATAGGTAATGAATATAAATTAAAAATTGGAATATACAAAATTGTATCTAATAAATTGGATTTGTTGATCTATTAATTTTTGTATTTAAACTATATTTACATTTTTATTATTATTTGTTTATAGGTTAGTCTCTGGAGCTGGAGAAATAAAAATTACTAAAGATGGAAATGTGCTCTTACATGAAATGGTAATATAAATTTGCATTTGGTCAATCTAAGTTGCACTACTCTTTAGTAGGTATCCTAGAACCAAAATCAATACCTACCTCAGAAATCCATTAAAATAAACCGGTCTATAAATCCCGTACTGACAAAAATATATATGTATGCAAATTACCATGTCTCATACTCTCATATACGTCACCGGCCTAAGCAAAGTCACACCTCTGTCATATAATATATGAGACACATGGTCGTGAATATTATTATATTTATATACATTCTTTAAAGTGCAACATTTTGTCGTAACCCACCTACAATATTGACCTTATAGTTGTATCAATTTTAAATTGTTTTTAAAACGTGACATTTTTATTGGTTCCTAGCAAATTCAACATCCAACAGCTAGTCTTATTGCCAGAGCTTCTACCGCCATGGATGACGCCACTGGTGATGGTACAACTTCAACTGTTCTCATTATTGGTGAACTTCTGAAACAAGCTGAAAACTTAATCTCAGAGGTATATATTAAAAGTGTATAATATAAAAAATGTTAAATAATTTAACTTTTATTTTAGGGTGTACATCCTAGAGTGTTGACAGAAGGCATGATTAAAGCCAGAGATAAGGCATTAGAACTTTTAGAGAAAATTAAAGTTGAAGGAAAACCAGATCGTCAAAGGCTGTATGATGTAGCTACTACTTCTCTTCGTACTAAAGTTGATAGAAAATTAGCCGATCAAATGGCAGATATATGTGTTGATGCTGTATTAAATGTGCAACGTGAAGATGGAATAGATTTACACATGGTCGAATTAATGGAGATGCAACATAAGACATCTACTGCAACAACTCTTGTTAGAGGTAAATTTGTTTTTACTGATATAAAATTTAAATTATAAATATGAACCTAATAAAGTTAATTTGTCATAGGTCTTGTCCTTGATCACGGTTCAAGACATCCAGACATGCCAAGAAAAGTTGAGAACGCTTTCATATTGACTTGTAATGTTAGCATGGAATATGAGAAAAGGTAATAAATAAATCATTATTATTAATAACATGTACAATTTTCTATAAATATTCTTATTCTTGTTCAGTGAAGTAAATTCTGGGTTCTTTTATAAAACTGCCGAAGAGAGAGAAAAATTGGCAATAGCAGAACGTGATTTTATTGAACAAAGAGTGAAAAAAGTTATTGAATTAAAACGAAAAGTCTGTCCTCCCGGATCTGGTAAATCGTTTGTTGTCATAAATCAAAAGGTAATATATGTATTGAATTTAATTAATTTATATAGTATATGTTTGTCTACCTTAAATTAATTTTTCTATAATTATTTTAATTGTAGGGTATTGATCCATATTCTCTGGACATGTTGGCCAAGGAAGGTATAATTGGTTTAAGGCGTGCCAAGAGGCGTAACATGGAACGTCTGTCATTAGCATGTGGTGGATCTGCTGTCAATAGTGTTGATGATTTAACTGAAGATGTGCTTGGTTATGCAGGCTCTGTTTATGAATATGTATTGGTATGTGGTTTTTTGTTGTTTAAGTTATTACATAGTCTATAAATTTAAAATGTATTAAATTATCATTAATAATTATATTTAGGGTGAAAATAAGTACACATTTGTTGAAGATTGCAAAAATCCTCTTAGTGTTACCATATTAATAAAAGCTCCTAATAAATATACATTAGCTCAGATCAAAGATGCTATTCATGACGGTTTAAGAGCAATCAAGAATTCCATTGACGATGGTGATTATTACTATTTACTTTTTAAATTTAGGGGCGTATTTAAGAAGTGTTAAATTGAGATGTGGCAAATTAATAATAAGAACATGTTATTTTCAGTGGGATACTGAAATAAATTCAAATTTTAAATTTACATAAATAATACAGTCTAAATAAAAAAAATTGTATTTATTTATTTATTTATTTGTTTTTACATTTCATTTTTGTTTTATAAGTTGACATTACATTTAAAACAGTTTAAGGAAAGTTTTTTTTTTTCCAATATTGGAAAATATTTCCAGGGTTAGGGATTATTTATTTTCTTTAGCATATCGTGGAATATTTTGTAAATTATGACACAAAAATAATTTTTATTTTTTAATCGTTTACAAACTATTATTTTTTTATTAAATACTAAAAAAAAATTAACATTTACATACATTGTAATTACATTACAACAATTCCATAATATCTGTTGTGGTTATTGTATTTCCGTTTAAAAATATATTGTGTTCATAAATTCTTAACAAAAGTTGTCGCTGAGTTTCAGCAGTGCAATAACAGGGTATATCTACTCCTTATTTTTGTTTGTTTGTTTTTTTTTAAATAATTAGAAATTATATACATGATACAAATTAACTACAGATATTAAAATTTTTGAAGTAAAACTTCTTTCTTGAGGTATGGGTGGAAAGAAAAATGATACGACATGTTTGTTTATTTATTTATTTTTATTGTATTGATTTTTCTCACTCCCTAATTCACTTACAATTTCACGGACCCCAATACTTATGAAAGAAGTTTTACTTCCCCGGAGTGTAATAGTGGGCTCACACACTCGTTTTTTTTTATCTATATATTCTTTAATATAATACTGTAATTATACCTACTTAAATATTTTTTTTAATAAAACCTGAAAGACATGTAATTAAAGTCTATTCCTAAAACCACCCATTCTCTCCTTTAAGATTTACTGCTAATATAATTATTTAAATCATTGTGATAGTTATTCAAAATTACTAAATTTAAATTTGCAGGTGCTGTAGTACCAGGTGCTGGTGCATTTGAAATATATGCTTGGCAAGAACTTCAAAAATATAAAGACGAAATTAAAGGAAAAAGCCGTTTGGGAATTCAAGCATATGCTGAAGCTTTGTTAATCATACCCAAAACCATTTGTAAGTTTAAATTTACTGACCTTGAGTTATATGATGTTGATAAGTTGTTTTACCATACCTTAAATGATTTATACATTTTAGCAATCAATAGTGGTTTTGATGCTCAAGATATGATAGTTAAGTTACAAGAAGAGTGTAGAGAAAGTGTTGGTCCAGTAGGAGTGAATGTTGATAGCGGTGAAGTTCTTCAACCGGTTGATGCTGGAATATTTGATAATTATTGTGTTAAAAAACAAATCCTGAACTCTTGGTAAGATCGTAATAATATTTTAAAATATAGTGTAAAATGTCCTATTTTAAATTTATATTTATTTTTTTATTATTTTTTAGTACTATTATCGCTAGCAATTTGTTGCTTGTTGATGAAATAATGAGAGCTGGTATGTCGTCACTCAAAGGATAATAATGCTTGATTGTTTTTTTTTTTTCCATTATGCTTAAACACACCTAATTTTTATATTACTAAAAAGTTTCTAACATAAAGTTTCTACTTTAATTACAATTTAATTCTAATAAATTTTCTAAAATATTATTTGTGTTTTTAATGTCATTATAATATGAAAAATGTGTCATATTTTTGGATAATTCCTATTATTCAAAATCGATTATCTCATGAAGTATATTCATTACTAATCAGATAACACATTATACAAGTTTAAATTATATTCATAAAAAGTAACACAATTACTCAATTCTTAGCAAGGCTGTCAATCGCAAACATTGTATTCAAACATCAAAAATAGTTTTATGAAAATAAATATCTATAGGGACTTGATTGCTTAGTAACTATATTTTAAATTACACAAATACCAAAACATTTAATGTCTATATTTTAATTTAAATTGTCACGTAAACTTTCTTATAATTTATATTCAAATGGCAAACTGATAAAAATGTATCAGAGTAATATGTAATATTTTATTATAAGTAGGGTTCGAGACTTATTGCACGCAAATTGTTGGATATATAATAACTAAAATATATGCAATTAACATTTTTTTTTTTTTCAACAGCAATAAAAAATCTTTGGTTTTTAAATTATAAATTTATAATTTTATAGATAATTTTGAATAACCAAATATTGCTTATCTTCGCCTACCTTAATTCCCCAAAGCTTACAAAACTCAATGCGATGACTCGTACTTCATGTATACTTATATTATGTTGGTCAACTCTTAACAATAAAAAAAAATTATGTTAACTTACACCTTAAACAATCATAATGTGTATTTACTATTTACTTATGCTAGGTTTACACGTGCATGTTTGCCCAAGCAAGTTGAGCCGCCAGTGAGGTGTATACATGTTCTGGCGCAGTGAAAATAAAAGTTGAAATATTCCAACATTACTGGGGCGCCACAACCAACATGCACGTGTAAACCCACCTTTAAAATAAAACAGAAAACTCATAAATATACTAAAAATTATCATAGTTTGTCAAATATGTGTTAACCTTACAAAATGGAAAAATATTCAGTATAAATTGTGTTAAAGTTGTTATGTATCAAACCAAAATTATATCTTTGATATTCTACACATCTATACCCATAGTTAAGGAATATACAAATGCAACAGGTTCTGAATCCTGATTAGGATATTGCAAGTTCTTATTGTGAAAACCAACTGAATTTACATGTTTAGAATTTCTCAAATTGAATAGTTTTAAATGCATCTGGTTAAATATTAATTTCATTAATCATAAACTAGGAGCTAAGAGTTCAAACTTGTAACTTCAAAATTCTATTAGGCATCAATAATCTAAAACATTTAGAAGTGTACCTTGCAGTATTAGTATTTTAGAATGTTTAAACTACCTAAACTATACATTAGTCTAAAATAGTAGAGTAAAGAAACAGGAACCAGCTTAAAAGTTGGGTTCACAGCTTCATTTTTCTTGTGTGCCAGGCGCATTTTATAATTATATGGACATATTATGGTATTAATATTCTACTATTCTGATTAGCCATTTTAATCATCAATTTACTTGAACGTGAACTAAGTTCTTATTAATTATGATTTTGAACGTTTTGGGTTCGTTAATTGACAATTTAATTTCCATAGAACAGGCGATAGGATAACGTTTTGAAATGTTTTGTAGCCGGTCAAGTTCCTTCTCATGAATCAAAAGACATAATTTGTTTTTAATTTCGTTTATTTTTAGTTTGGATATTTATTTTCGCCCTGAAATCACAACGCCTCGCCGTTGATCGATGATATGAATAGTAGTTATACCATTTATGGTGTATTATTATAATTCTGTTGTAACTTAACATAAGTCTAGACAGTCTCTAGTACCTACGTGTGACGATGTAAAGTATAGATTGTAATTTTAAATTTGTAGCGGCAATTAGTAGTCCCACGCTTGGTGAAAATAATAAATTACCAGAACTGCGACAGTTGGTGACCATGGTATGGAACGATAAGAAGACTATGGAGTATGGATAATTGATAACTGATAACCAATGGGCCAAGGCGTCCGCGTTTTTGAATTAACGAAGTTTGGAATTTTAAATAAGTTCAAAGTTGTGCCACTTTTGGTTGTCGCTCGTTACTACTGTATTTTTGACCGTTGACTTAAGTTTATTTTTCTCTTCTACATTTTTTTTTTATACAAGTATTTTACTGCAATAACTATTTTTCTCTGACCATATTATATATCTCTCACCACTATGGACCACAACGAAATGGAGGACGACAACGTTTGCGAAGAATTTGCTAAGCGTCTGAAAGAGTCTGAGAACACTTATAAGGTTTTTGGTTTCTCACACGTCATTATTATCGGTTCCATAGCGGACATAATGGACACGTCGATTCGCTCTATCATTGACGGCATGTACCGTAAGACAAAGTTACACTGTAAAACCGACGAAGAAGTCGAATTGTATCGTCAACGGCTGTGCAAGCTGTATTTAACCTACTTGAAAAAAGGCTTGGATAACGTTGATCGTCTAGAACCCAAACTGGCGGACACATTAATAGTAAATGTAGAAAAGCCTGTTGAAAAGTTGAAGGATAGACTGGACGAGTTGAGAACAAAGGTCGCCCAAAGAACGAAACGTCTCCAAAGTCTGGTGGCGTTACAGAGCCGTTTGAAAACTGACACCGTTCTAGCAGAGTGGGTTATTTCAAAAGTGGGACCAGCTGTACATGAAGCTGAAAAAGATCTCTCTGACGTAAAATGTATCGCTCCAAATGTTATTCATTCTATACTGCTTAGTTTGAACCGTATGAAAGACTCTTTACATTCTTTTAAATTAAATTAAATATCAATTTTGTTTTTACTTTTATACATTTTTACAGTTTATCAACTGTTTTTTTTTTTTTGGTAGATATCTGAATTAACAAAATGTTAAAATATAAACTTATTTTTAGTATATGTACCTAAAAATTAAAATCCAATGACCAATATTTCATGAAGGTATGATAAAAAAAATTGTTTTTATTTTCTGTGCCATCAAATAACTAATGAATCAAACCCAATAATAAAAGTTTTTGATTTCTCTTTACAAATATTTAGTAGGTATACAATGTATATGTCAATATTCATTGATTTATTGTTTTCTTTTTTATAACCATGTACAAAAACTTTTAAGATTGTGATTATTTATTTAGTATGTTTAATATATAGACATAGCATTATACTATTATCTGTTATTTATTTTAAAAGAAAAATGTTCATTTTGACAACTAGCAATACATTTATGTTGAATACAATAATCTACCAGCAATAAGTACAAAATGTTCTTAAAAATAAAAAAATTTATTTTTGAAATATTAATAGTCTTTGTCCTTTGATTAAGAATCTACTCAGAATAATATTTCGATGACCTATCTATTTGAATTAAATATTAACCTTCAACCAATTGAGTAATTAATGATTTCACCACAAATTATATTATTTTATTATGATCTGTGACAGTTGTAGCATGTTAAAAATCAATAAATATATAGTTGGTACCTTATACCTAATAGATCATTAACTGTGTTTTCACAATAGTATGTTTTAAAAAATTGTAGAACATTATATATTTTTTTTATTATTAAATTAAACAGCAGCGGTACGGCCCATTGGGTAAAAGTGTAGGAATATTTAATACATTTAATTATTTAAATATGAAAAAAACACTGTTGAAATGTTGAATATAGTTTATATTTTGTCCATTGTCCTAATTGTATATATTATGGAAATAAATGGACACAATGAAAATTTAAAATATAAATATCAAAAATTATATTAAATAGATTAAAATATATTAATATATATTTAAATATATTATAATTTCAATAATTTATACTAAATGCTAGTTTGAATAACTCAATAACCTGTACATCATGTCATCATAAATCTATAATTATCTATCAAATGTTATAATATCTTAATCATTACTCATCAGTCAAATTTAACAAGCTTAGTGTACCTACATAACTATTTAAATTTAAATATAAATCAAATTAAAATAAATATTGGAGTAATTATAGTAGCCGGCAGGTCATGGAAGTCATTTCAACTTTTTGTTGGTGCCAAAATGTTTGCAGCCCATTCAAATCATTACCAGGCCACATTTTTTTTTTTGAGGGGGGGGTCAATTGGGGACAAAAACTGTAGAATATTTGTATAATTTATTTAATAATATGTCACTTATATTAGTATGAAAATATCACAATATTGTTACTATTTTTGACAAACTATGTGTAGGTACTTTTAATGTATTTATTTTATATTGTGGATGCCAGTGTACATTTTTATTTACACTTGGTAAATAAATGTATTCGTATAAAACAACTTTATAATAAAATACTTAACTGAACCTAACCTACACAATTTTTCTCCCTGCATACTCAAAATATATATAGCTTAATAAAACCAGACATTTATTTTATGGGTACCCTTCTTCACAATGTTTGTGTTATAATTTTACCAATCATCAGCGGAGTAACCAGTGGGGGGCTAAGGGGGCTATAGCCCCCCCTCCTCCCCATTGACTGTGTTGACCTTAGAATTTTATTAAGATTAATAAAAAAATAAAAAGTGTAAATAAAAGACATATTGTAATTGTATTTTAGATTCTGAGGGGAGTGATGGATCTATTGGTTTTACAATGGTCTTTATTTTTTTTATTTTGTATACAAAATTTCTACTAGAATTATTGCTTCGATTTCAACATAATATAGTCTCTTATTTTTTAGAAAATTGGATCAAGATGGTACTTTAAACAGGTTATTTTTCGATTTTCTCAATAGTTATTTAATGCCACTAAAAATGGGATTTTAATTTCTAAAGCTTTGTTTATCACCATAAAAACAAATGAAAATAAAAATAACGATTTTATTTATTTTGTTGTAATTTATAATATTAATTCAACATACAGGTCTATAGTAAAATATAAAATATCCAGACTGACAAACCGTCTCCTCTCAGAATCGTTTTTCGTATACAAATATACAATGATAATATGATATCATTGAATTCAAATTTAATACAATCCATTAGACAGTGACCCACTTGTAACCTACTGTACAGCAGAGCGACATCCACTTCCCCTCTTTTTTTGTATTTTTTGTGATACTTAGCCCTCACCATACAAAATTCCTGGCTACGCCACTGCCAATCATAATATTGTGGGACCACAAAACCATATCAAACATTCCTGGAAATTAAACATTAGTATAGGTAATACATTTTTTTTTTAATACTGAAAAAATTATAAAATATAATAATATTATATAATATACCTAAAACACTTAGGTATATTGGCGCTTGTATTTATTGTTGGCAGGCCAAAGAAAGAGTTTTAAAAAAAAGTTGGTGCAAATGTACACTCTGCACCCCCCCCCCCCCACAAAAAAAATGACGCCCCTTAAACTGACTTATTTAATTATTTATATGTATATTGTAATTGTATACCTACCTATAGTTTACAATTACTTAGGTATCTCTAACACAGAAATATGACCAGTAAACCAGTTATAGTACCATCATAACAACATTTCCAACATTTCCAACAGCATTAAGTGAACAGTAAGTGGAGCCCACAAATTAGGAACGAACAATTTTATAAATTTTTGTTGTTCTACTTGTATTTGCTTAAATTAACCCACATGCCCAATCAACTTTAGCTCAACGTAACAACTTACAGCTCATATACTTGAACCTGATTGTTCCAAATATAATAATTGGTGTAAGTACCTATATACCAATTGCCAAGTGTAGTACATAGGCATAGGGTGATCAAATATATGGTGGGAGGGGGGTCTGAAACTAGGGGCGGATCCAGAGACATGGTTAGGGGGGCAGTCATAATTTTCAGAAAATGTCGAGGATTTTTTTTTGTAATTTTGTTTTTAACAGTATAAAATTATTTAGAAATACAGCTAGGGGGGCAAGTGGGCAACCCTTAGACTACCTCCCTGGAGCTGCTCCTGTCTGAAGCCCCATTATAAATTTCCAATGTACCATTCTATGAGGGGCTCTGTATTATAAATAATATATTTTGCTGGACGCTTTTATAGCTGTATTTGTAACACCATCACTCAAAAAGACGTTTTGTACTATAAATAAAAAAAACTATAGGTAGGTTAGTAGGTAGATACTAGATAGGTGTACCAGGTACCTACTTAACAATTATTGAAAAACAGTTTTTATGTGCAGTCGTGTCGTCGTGATATTAATATTAAATTGTACTATTATATTCATAACTAAGTTAAGACCTAAAGTATTGACAAAATTAAAGTTAATTAACGTTGTCCGATTTTGATTCTGAAAAAAAATTTGAGCTCACCAGAAACTAAAAAGTTGTCTATAGATCCTACGAAACACAGACATTTTTCTGCTGAATTCAAATATTTTTTTAGAATCAAAATCAGATAACTTAAACTAACTTTAATTTTGTCAAAACAAATGTATGTTTTTGTAAAATTTGTGTAGTGAAAATTAAATGGTTATCGAGTTATTGACATTTGCATGAGCGTACGAGAGAGGATGCCCTCATTTAATTTCACTCACACTAATAATCATTTACAACTATATACAACATACATCCCAGGTGGCTATGGCAAGATTAGAAATTGCCTAAATGTTGCCCCTTACATAATGACCGTAGCGAGGCCCCGTATATGTCTAATGATTATGTTATGCACTTTTCAACACCAAGTATTTGGTTTTGCCTATCTATGCCCCTTATAACAAATATGCGCCGTTCAAATATACACCACAAAATAAAACAATAGGTATAACATTCGATCAGTGGAGTCATTTGGAGGGGGGGCAATGTGGGCATTTGCCCCATTTGCCCCTGTCTGATTTTATAAGCGACCCAATGGGCCGGTGTCTAGTTGTTGCCGTTTTACCATTATTATATTTTTTTAGCACAAAAACATGTCTATTTTATAATATTTTCAGAAAATATTATGCTAAGAAATTATTTTCACAATGATACATTTGTACTAATTGATAGTTGGAATATATTTGTATTTAGACGTATGCGAGGACGTTCACATTGTATGTATGGGTATGTAATGCACAACAATAATAATAATTAGTATCATAATCTCGTATAGTTAAATTTCTAAAAACTAAAATTAATACAAATTCTATAAACAACAACCGATTGGTACTCTTATTAATTATCATTGATTACGGACTTCAGTTAACTTGCACCAGTCGTGTATGATTCAACTATTCTGCGTATTGTGTTAATATTTTAGTTGAGTACCTTCCTTATTCTACCTAAATTCAAATTTATTTTTTTCTTGACGCGTGTTTACATTAGTATTTTAATTTTGGCAAAATATGACTTAAAAAAAAAAAAATAATGGGTGGTACGGCTAAAAATATAAAATTACCGCAAACTGCTCAAGAATCGAAAATAATTTCTGGTAGGTATGTTTAATAAACAGAAAAACTTGAGCTGATAATCAAGTAATATAAATAAAATATGTATTATAATTTATGATAATATTAATTTGTAAATATATCATAGTTCCGCACGGCAAGTCGTCCGTAGCACACGTCTGTTGACCGTCGTGCACGTACACTATCGCCTTTCGCTTATCGCTTCATTAAAATTAAAATTAATGACCACTAAATCGAACCGTATCATTCAGTATAATTATCATCGTTTTCCGTATATTTCCACACGCTAAAACAAAAACACAACCTAATCCGAAACCACCGCCGTTAAATCGGCCGTAGGCCGTTACCTGCAACTTATTAATTACTGCATCATGCAACGAAACAACTCAGACACTAATAAACTTAAAAACA